TCCGCAACTGGAGCTGACGCACTACAGGATTTGACAACAACTCTGTCACCCAACGATTCAATCTCATCTACAAGTGTTCGCAGGGATACGGCCCTGATCTTAATGTCCTCAACAGTAAAGTCTAGAATTAATAAAGAAAATGCATTATTCATTAATTCTCAGTTATGCACCCCCACTAATTCTTTTGTTTTAATTCTCTGTTTCTAACTAAATATGACAATTAAATCCTTGAACTGAATATCCTCTTACTTCACAATATAATATCACAACAAACAGAATTACAGTAAGATTTAATGTACATTTCCAATAACATTTTGCTCACTGTTTGAGGGCGTTTGTGATTTCTGTCCACCTTTTCTCTTTCTGGATGCGGTTGTGGTACATCTCATGTCCAACATCATAAAGGCATTCATGCTCCTGCCACAGTTCGATTCAATTTTGATCTAAATCTTGAGTCCATTGCTTTCTTGACATGTTGCTGATCTTTCTGCAAACTCCTATTGGACGTGTTTGTTCGAAAATCGCGCATTTCGCATATTTACCCGGTGACCTCAACCCATACCTTGCTCTGATTGGCTCTAGCTCTTGACATCACTGAGATTGAGTCGCGCGACAGCTCTGGATATCTAGCATGCTAGATATTTTTCTGAGCTCGGTGACCTGTCTGCGAGGTGTCTGCGAGCTGTCTTTGATGCGTTGTTGGCTCTTTCATACTAACAGATTGGAGAGCGTTAATCGTCCGCTAATCGCCCGCGATTTGCACGCGATAACACCCTGACTTGTCGGTGACTCAACGATTTGCAAATCGGGCTTAAATCGGGCTTAAAATCATGTAGTGTGAACTAGGCTTAACACACCGTGTTCTGACTCTGCACTTGTAAATTCTTTAATCAGGATCTCACGTAGCAGCTGGTAGTTTGACTTGACATGAGCAGGTTGTCGGTCTAGGAAGCTTCGTACCTCTGAACTGGATGTGGATCTGAGGAGGTATAAAATGTCTCTGTCAGTCATATGGGGTCTCACCTCTAGGAGGAAGTCGATATCTTGGAGGTCGGCCTGGATGCTGTGGCCCTCCGTGGAGTTCGGGTTGAACTGGGTGATGTTCTTAGCCAGCTGGTTGAGATCTTTGAAGGTCATTCCATGTGCAGCTTTGGAGTCTGGCTGGATGATCTCTCTTTGTTTGTTGGCAGGGAAGAGTTCTGAAGGCCGGTGACGTTTTGGGGTGTGGCCATTCACTTCTTCCGTCGTTTTTATCTTTTATATATCTATCCATATAAGTCACTTGATGCTCCTCGACGAGAGCTGGTCCTTCAACAACATCTCAGGACGGGGTTCTGTCATATCCATACATCTGTCTGTGCTTGATAAACGATATTGCCCTCAAAACTTTTAGGATAGGCTTGCTCAAGCCAAATTAAAGTTTTTATTTAGAGTTTATATTCTTCATAAACAATTAAGTCTCTTAGGTACTTAGGTACTACAAAGCCAATAACACTCAAGTGTATCTTGTCTAACATTTTCCTATATAATATGTTTAAGATGTATAAAAAAATAAATTCCTTGTATGACTCTGTACTGATAATGCCATTCTTCAAAATGATTCAATATTGTTTGTATTTTATCTAAATCAGGTGTTGTGAACTGGAGTGCAAGAGACTTGCACTCTTGCCAAGAGTTCCAGGTGCCCTCTTTGACTGTGCTTGCACTGTACTGAAATACACAAGGAAAGAATGGGAGTCCTGCGTGCATTTTCTTCTGTGAAGGAGGTTGAGGGCTAGTTTTTTCAATGATGGAGGGCAGTAGCGGAGTGGCAATCGGGAGAGTCGGGAGTTTTCCCGGTAGGCCGGTAGTGTTTCGAGGCCGCGAGGGCCGGTCTGATAAAATATTGGAAGTTCGCCATGTGCACTTGGGGCCCAAGCTAAGGGAAGAAAACTTTTTTTTTATTTTTTTACATTTTCTATAACGGAGCATATATTTGCACTAAGTGCCTGTCTTTACAGCAAAAAGACGCCCATCTTGAAACAGCTTCAGTGGCGTAAGTCATAGGGCGTGTGAAGTGCTTGAAAGCAGCTTTTGATGCGCTGAACGCGAGTTTGAATAGGCTTTTTGCCGAACTCTCTCTTCTCCCTTTTCCCAACACATACTGTATATAAAGATGTAAAATGTAAAACCTACCATTAAGGTCTCTAGCGTTATATTTTGCCAACAAACTAAAATTGAAACTATGATATGGCGTTGCGCCATTATAATAACTGACATTAGAATAGCATCCTGTTTGTGCAGCGTGATTAACTTTGCTCACGCAATCATCATGGTCATCTGGTGTTTTCTCCTAAATAAAAGCTCAAGGGTTTATTTCTTGCAAGTGAAGAAATTAGGACAAAAGTCTTTTAATTTTCCTCCATTATAGTGTAATGTAAGTTAAAATATACTTTTGAAATACTCATTTTCATTAACATAGTACATTTATAGTCTAAATGGATTTTACAGTACGTCATAGGAATAATTATAAATCATTATTACATTATTATAATAATTGTTTGGCATCCTAAAACACCATTGATAATGTAATGCAGACTGTGACTCTCATAACTAAAAAGATGTTTGAGTCCTCTTTATTGTCACAAATTAATGCTTTTTCTTTGTTCAACGAGCAGTTCGTGTCCAAAATTCTCTTTTTTTTTTTGAGTTGGCATGCATAATATGGTTTACAGAGATTGACAATGTACTGTATGTAGTTATTTTAACTTCAAACTTTATTGGCATAAATGTTTTATAATAACCTATATAATGCACAAAATAAACAAGAACTATTACAGAGGAATGCTTAAAATAAGAAATATATTTAGGTGCCATTAATGTTTACAGTTATTTTGTTATTTACATGGTGAAGTGCAACAGAATGTGAAAAACTTTTAAAATACTACAAAGATATTACACAATACTCTGTAATTCCTTATACGCTGAACTTAGATCAGGCATAGTTAGAACTATGGATATGTGCTCTACTCCTTTTTGCTGCTTTCATTATTACTTTAGAGATTTTTAATACTTAATCATTTTATTAAAAGTATTGTACCGGTATTGTACCAATACTGTACCACTTAACGCAAATACGGTTTAAGGAAAGAGATAGTAGATATAATTTAAGAAGGAGAGGAAATCTCTCCCAATCAATTGCACGTACCACACTCAAAAGCATGTGCATATCTGTCAATGGGGTAAGGCTGTGGAATAATTTACCTGTATAATAATTAAAGAAAGCAATCATATTGTGCAATTTAAAAGAAGGTTTAAAATGTTTATATTAGAAAATTTAAGGTAGATGGGACATATGTCTCATTTCCTCTTCAAGAGGATGATTTGAATTATTATAGAGTCTGTTTCTTGCCATTCCTTTAATATTCATTGTCAGTATTACATTTTGTGTTTTTTGTTTATTTATTTATTTATTTATTTTTGTTTTTTACATTATAATTGTATTGTGTGACTTATTTTTAGATAAAATGTACTGCAAATGATTAAGTTTTTTTTGTTGTTGTTGTTTCTCAAAAAGGATAAATTATGATATTTTGTAAAGAGAAAACAGTAGCCGTTTCAAATGCAGATTTGTAAAAGGGGAAGGTAAATATAAGTTAGCTTCTTCCTTCTCCTTTTTTTTCTATATTCTTTTTCTTCTCTTTTGAACATGCTGAGATTTTGTTTTTATTATTTTTTGTTTAAATATGCTCTGTTATCAATGACCATGTTCTGAAGAGGAAAAGGAAATGAAAAGAAATAAAATTATTCATTCATTCATTCATTCAATACGATGCATGTGCTTTCAGCGTGGTATATATATTTGGTATATTTTCATTTTAATTTATATAGTAGTACATTTATAGGCTATATGGATTTTACGTCATAGAAATAATTATATAAATCATTACATTATTATAATAATTGTTTGGGATCCTAAAACACCATTGATAATGTAATAGACTGAGACTCTCATTACTAAAAAGATGTTTGAGCCCTCTTTATTGTCCTGGTGCAAATCAATGCTTTTTCTATGTTCAACGAGCAGTTCATGGGTTGAAGCTCTTAATTTTGATCTCTCAAATAGCACAAGATTGATGCATTTAGCCTTAAAATGTACAAAATTTTCTAGCGGGGGATCAAGCCCCCGAACCCCCCCTAGGAACAGAGTCCACCCAACATAGTTTTACAAATTTGTTAATCTTTAAGGTTGCCTTTTTTACTGCTGGCTGGGGTACTACCAATGAAAATTAGCTCTTTTAGCTAACATTTTCATTGTTCTAATATTGATTAGAGGGAGATGGAGTTGGAGAAAGGGAAAGAGAGGGAGATGGAGAAAGGGAAAGAGGGGGAGAAGGAGAAAGGGAGAGCATGCAGGAAGAACCAGGTGAGGAAACAATAATAAATTGACAAATAGTGATTTCAAGCAAAACAGTAACTATACTTATACTCCTACGTTTTGCCATTAAGTAGCCTATTACATTACTTTTTGTAACATTATTTTACACTACATTTTTTCATAAAAAAGGAGGAGGAAAACAACAGGGAGAGTCCATAAGGGATGAGAGGGAATTAAGAAATGAAGAGAGAGAGGGAGCGTATATGGGTGTAAAATGTGGGTGGTGGCAGTGGGGCTCATTGGGTGCTCAGCACCCCCAAAGCTCTGACCCTAGAATCGCCCCTGGCGTCATGTAGCCCCGCCCTAGTGCGGCCCCGCCTCAATCTACGTCATCACTTTGTTACTAACCAATGAGAATTGTTATGGGCGGAGCTGCAAGTGCAGCCCCGCCCCAGCTGCAGCCCCACCCCGATCTGCAGGCTGCAGCCAGGTGTACTTGTAATGACGTAGCAAAATGTGGATCATGCCCAGTCACGATCTATTGATTTATACTATTTCCTGATTTTTTTTTTCTTTTCCTTTTTTTTTCTTTGTTGAAAGTCATAATCTGAGGGTCAAATTTCACCAAGCCGTGTCAGACGTCATTAAACCATCCTCCTCCAGGGTTATTAGACCCTACAGCAACAGACTCACTTTTTATTTTTAATAGTTGCGTGTATTAATGTGAGATTGATGTGTAGCCTGCTGGAGAGATCCCGCGCTGATAATACAAACGAATAGCCTAATAAAGCAGCTTTCATAAGACTGTAGAGCAGCAGCACGCAGCCGGAGTGTGTGTGTGTGTAGGAGGGAACTCAGTTTGACCTGTAACTAGGGTTGAGTTAAGGGTGTGTACAGTACATTTACCACATACTTCACTCGACATTTACCTTTCTGTACAGGTATCAAGAGCTCTAAGCTTTATCCTCAGACCTCAGCAGGGATTGTTCTGCTTTTGTACAGCTGGTGTTGTGGACTGGTCCTCCTCGCGCGAGCAAAGCGCTCGTGTATGAAGCGGTAAGTCAGCGCGTGTCAGCGGCGTCGCTGCCATTGATTGATTGACGGCTGGGTCTTCTTTTTCCTGCTTCCCGTTCCTTGTTTACATTCAAATGTGACTGTGTCAGATTTCTGTTTGTTTGTTTGAATATGTGTGTGTCGAGATTTAGCGATATCCCTCTTTTAATTTTATTTTGCAGAACTGAATTCCACTTAATTTTAGCTATATGATAAAAGAAAATGTTTTTTTTTATTTCCATTTTATACATTAATGTCATATTTTAATTTTCAACAAAAATATGATGGTATAATAGGGATTTTAGGGGTTTTGTTGTTGTAGGGTTTTTTTTTTTTACTGAGTTTTATGAATGAAGGCCAGTATTGCTTTTTTTCTTGTTTTAGCCATTCACCATTACAGCATAATTAAAGGTTTACATTTAACAATTATACAGAACTTTAAAAATATAACAACAACCTTAAGTTAACCCTAAGTTTTTAACTGAGCTTAGACTTATTAAAGCTAGTTTCAGAAACCCATTGAAAAGTAACATTTGTATAGTATGTTTCTGTCTGTAACTCTATCAGGCCTCTCTCTCTCTCTCTCTCTCTCTCTCTCTCTCTCTCTCTCTCTCTCTCTCTCTCTCTCTCTCTCTCTCTCTCTCTCTCTCTCTCTCTCTCTCTCTCTCTCTCTCTGGGATAGTTTACTCTGCATGACGTCCTGTGGTGTTACTTCTTCTTTTGAAACTGTTTTACAGAGTCCAAACCCAAGCAAGACCAGTAGACGCCCATTCTGTGAGCTGTGTGTTTTTGAGTAAAGCGTGAAGATGCTGCAGCAGATCCTGGCTGACATGTACATCGAGCCGGAGCTGCTGTCTGAGCTCAACGAGGAGCAAAAACAGGTGCTGTTCCTCAAGATGAGGGAAGAGCAGATCAGGAGATGGAGAGAGCGAGAGACACAGCTGGAGAAGGAGGAGGCTGCAAGTCTGAAAGGCAGAAAAGGTTTTCACTGACACATCCTTACTTACTGACAATAAGATGTGAATATACAGGGCAGAGGATCTGTCATACATATTACCAGAAATGTATGTGTGTGTGTGTGTGTGTGCAGTTTCAGGAAAGTTTGTGTCATGGATGAAGGGTCTTGATGATGATGATGTGTGGGTTTGGGTGATGGGAGAACATCGTGACGACAAACCTTACGATCAAATCTGTGACGAGATCATGGCCGAGAGAGCAGCGCTGCAGGCTCAGAGAGAGGCTGAACAGCTCAGGTGAAACACACACACACACACACTTCATTCATGCAGCGGAAATACAACTACACACTCGCTATAAGCAGTTCAAGTCAAGTCACCTTTATTTATAAAGCGATTTTAACACTATGGATTGTTTCAAAGCAGCTTTACAGTGATAATAGGAAATTAAAGTAGCAGAGATTGTTTTGGCTTTACAGCAGCTCTAGAATGAAGTTAGTTAAATTAAAGTTTGTTCTGATTGATTCCCTTCCATTGCAAAGATCACTAGTTATGAACTGTAATCGCAAAAATATGTGTCTTTGTGGAAAAAAGTTATCTTTGGGCAAACTTCAGAAGGCTTTCACAGGGAGGGACTAGTGACACTTCAGGTCTGCGTTGTCGTCGTGTCCAGGCGCTGGTCTTTCATCAGATCTGGATACGGCATGGATCCAGCGGACTACGGTAAACCTCGGGAGAAATGAAGAGACTAATATTAGTGTAGACACAATTCTTCTTATGATGTAACGAGTACATCAGGAATTATGGGAAGTGTTCCCGGTTCCGGCTGACCTAATCTATGCAGCCTAACATTGAATTATAGTACTTTTTTTCTACTATGGAAGTAAATGGTGCCAAACAATCGTTCGTTTCAATCATTCTTCAAAATATCTTCCTTTGTGTTCAGTAGAAGAAAGTACCTCATACAGGTTTGCAACAACCTGAGGGTGAGTAAATTATGACAGAATTTTTAGATTTCTGGGTGGAGTATCCCTTTAATAGGGAGCCAATGCATGGTTGACACTTGACAGAACCTTCTAATATGGCTAATATGGTCCTACTTCCTGGTTCTGGTAAGAACTCGAGCTGTTTCATCTTAAGTAGGTCGCACACGGGACGAGAAGCGCAGCGTCGCGTCGCGCAGCGCCACGTCTTTAAAATTCGAACACATTATTGTCTATGAGTGTACACACACCGGCGGCGCCATTCGGCGTCTGTCCGCGGCGCCCGGCGACGGCTCAAGACCGTGTTCAAAACCCTGCTGCGCCACAGAGCGCCATTTACATAGTTTTATATAAAATTTAAATTATTTTTGTCTCAAATCGTTGCTGATGGATCCTGACTTCGCCCTATGCTGCAATATACATTTAGTTTTGCATTCATTTACAGAAATCAGCTGCTTGAATGACAATTGCTGATGTTTTTTCAGGTGAGATTCTCAATTCATTCAGTTAACGGATGCTCTGAGGTAAAGTGTTCAAACTGCACACTCAGCAACGATTGTGTTTAATTGTACAGTACAATCATAACATAGAACAGACATTATCTTCATTTCCTGTCATTAAACATTACAATATTGCTGGCCATACACTGGTGAGAAAGTGCGCGTCCGGTGTGCGATACCTGGAGTTGTCCTAGACGCGGCGCGGTGGCACGATAATCTAGCCTTGATGTCATGAACGCATGAACTGTTCCACATTTGTCAATTAGAGCATATGACGTAATTTACAGTAGATATATATATTTTAAGAATGCAGTTTTGCAGATTCTAGACACGTGACTTTCAATTGAAAGATTGGTATGAAAGAGCACACCCAGGTTCCTACCCGACGACGAAGAATTAACAGAGCAGCCATCATGTGTTAGAAAGTATTTCAGGCTGTTACGTGTGGACGTTTTTTATCCAATAATTAGAATCTCTGTTTTTTTAGATTCAAGATCGGCCTGTAATTGTCTATTTCTGTACGATCAAGTTGCATTTATTTTTAACAAGCTGTTTAATCATAGCCAGCTTAAAAGTTTTGCTACTATCCTTATGACTAAGATGAATTAATGATATTAAGAAGAGGATTTATGATCTCTGGAAGCATGAGACATACATGTTGTCGATTTAGATGATTTAATGAGTTTAGAAAATTCTTCCTCTCCAATAGCAATGAATGAATCAAATTTTTCCTCAGGGAGACTACAATGCACTGCTTGATGCGATACTGTAGTAGACGGTTGCATAGTTATAATTTTCTCCCTGATATTATCAATCTTGTAAATAAAGAAGTTCACAAAGTCATCATTACTGTTGTGCTGTTTGGAAACTTCTGGGGTTGAGGCTTTATTTTTCGTCAGTTTATTTTGCTAACCCTAACCCTAACCCTGTTTCAAATAGATACCTAGAATTATGTTTGTTTTCTTCTAATAGGGTTGAAAAATAAGCAGATCTAGCAGCTTTAAATTACTCTCTGTATGCAATTGAGCTCTCCTTCCATGAAATACAAAAAATCTTCCCTTTTTCTGGCTGCTCTCTTAAGGGTCTGGGTGTGCTCGTTGAACCATGGCATTGGAGTATTTTCTTTAATTTTCTTTTAAGTGCAAGCAAGCAACTGTGTCTAAAAGTGTTGGAAAAGAGAGTCAACAGTTTCTGTTGCATTATCAAGTTCTAAGTTATCTCATTTAGCCTAGGCTAAATGAAGTTTACATGAGAATCAGCAAATAGCTTGTTTTCACGTGACGTCACGCCACTGCGTTGCCATGGCACGAAAAGCAGATGGAGGGCAGGAAGTGATTTTCTATATTTAGGAACATACTCAAAAAATGCCTATGTTTTGCGTCGTTTATGGTTGCTCAAATCGATCAAACCACGAGGAGTTTTTATCGTGTGCCCAAAGTTGTTGTTCATAAGGGGGGGAAATCAGTGTTGTAGTACTCGAGACTCGGACTCGGTCTCGAGACCATATTTTAATGGTCTTGGTCTTGTCATGGACTCGTGTGCATTTGGACTCGGAATTGACTCGTACTCGAACATTTTTATTTTAGGACTCGGACTTATTCCCGAGTCCACTCGAGTTCAATTCAAAATATTTTTCAAGATTATTAATTAATGTTAATAAAATATTTCTTTAAATTGATTGACACGCCCAGTGATTGGTGATTTTCTAGTGCGCAACTGCGCATGACAAATTGTAATAAAATTACTTTTAACACCACCTACTATGTGGCCTTTTTACCCTAAACTGATCATATTTTTTAAACTCTTAGTAAATTCAATAAAATAAAATAAAAGGATTTCTCTAAGTAAATAAAAGTAAATTAGGTAATCAACCCTCACTGGTCTCGACTCGGACTCGACCGTCTCTGGTCTCGGACTCGACTCTCTATGGACTCGGTCTTGACTCGGACTCGACTCTCTCTGGTCTCGGTGTCGACTCGGACTCGAGTGAGGTGGTCTCGACTACAACACTGGGGGAAATACAAGAAATTGACAGAAAAACACTAGGAAAAATGCCTCGCAAAGACTACGTCTGCGCCGGTCAGGAGGAGCCGAATGGGAAAATGCCTGTGTGTGTGTGTGCAGAGATCACTTCGTCAAATGTGAGTTAATACATTATTGATGTGGCTTATAATTACATTATTCAGGTGTTAAAATACACTTATGTGGCTGTTCGTGTAACGTACCAGTTTCCGAACTTTGTAAAGTCAAAGTATGTCTGTAAGACTAGTTAGTTGCTGATATCTACAGCCTCGATGGCAGGCAAATCTCTCAATTCAATTAAAAATCGGTCCTCTTCATAACGTAAGGATCACGTCCAACATATGTTTCGATTTTCTGTTTATATATTTCTCTTGTAATAGCGTCTAAAGTAGTACAGTACGGATTTTCCTCCATCTCGTCCATTGTGCTCTTCACTCCTTGCCCTCCATCTGCATTCCGCGCGTCAACACAATCACGTGACTGCAAACCACCTATTCTTTGATAGAGTCTGTATGGTGGCCTGTATACAGTAGCCAGCACAAATCTCAAACGTTATTTATCATTTACACTAGATAGTGTTACATTATGCACCAACACTTCAAAAGACTTCTCAGTAATTCTATATTACTATAAATTCAGCTTCAACATTTTAGTTTGTAACGTATGCTGGGGTAAGTTGTAGCAATTAGACAAACAGGCCACATTATGCAATATGCTACAAAAATAGGTGTATTGATCAATCCATATGAACAACCTAAAACACTCCGCTCTCTGTGACTGACCATAACTTAAATCCACTTAGGCTACATTTACATTTAGTTATTTTGCAGACGCTTTTATCCAAAGCGACTTACAATTGAGAAGTACAGCGAGTCAACATAAAGAGGCAAACAATGCAAGAAGTGCTCAAAATACAAAGTTTCAGACATTGATTAGAATAGCATAAGCCAGACAAGGGAGGGATTCAGGGAAAAGGAAAGAGTTTTTGTTTTTATTCTTTTAAGAGGTTAAGTGCTCACAGAAGAGATGAGTTTTCAGCTGTCTTTTGATTGTTGTCAGGGATTCTGCATTCCGGATGAGGGTGGGGAGATTGTTCCACCAGCAAGGAACCGTGAACGAGAATGTTCTAGAGCGTACTGTAGACTGTGTGTGTGTGTGTAAAAGAGTCTACTAGAACAAACTTCCTTAATGAACACTCATATCAGAATCACAATAGTGACACATGAATGTTGTTAACTCTGAAGTGCAGGCTTGCTGGACACAGAAACTGCATTGGGCACATTTTACACACACTTCCTTTGGCTTAGTTTTCAAATGTCTCCAGGTCTCATAATCCTCACCATTGGCCTTTTTCACAACTGATCTGTCTGTCCTGCCCTTCTCTAAAACCTCTCGACTTCCTTTTTTTAAACACAGTCTGGCACACCTTTTTCTGTCTTTCATCTCCATGATCCAGCCATTCTGTAAGATAATTACAAAGAAACTGTCCTGAGTTGTATGTAAGGGTAACACTTTATTTTAGAGTGTCATCACACATGTTAGATGTGGTTACTGTAGTACTAATTATAAATTAGTCATGCATAATTATATGCAACTAACCCTAAAACAAACCCTCATCTAACCCTATAGTAAGTAAATGTAGTTAATAGTATTACTTAGTACTTAAATGTATAATTACAGTGTAACACTGACACCTTAATATAAAGTGTAACCGGGGATTGTTGTAACACTTCTAAGATGTGTTACAGCCCACTCCTGTGTTTAGCTAGCTGTATTAGCATAATGGTTTGAATTTAAAAATGAAAAACATTTAATGCATAATATTTGCATGAAAAATAGAATTTAGTCTAATATAAGTTATATGATTTTATCTGCAAAAGTTTAAGGACTATAAACTTAAAGAAATATAGTTTTGGTCCAAAAAGTTATATTCTAACTTCAAAATCAGATTTTTCTTAATAAAATGACTGATGATTGGTGTAATTGATGGCGTTACAACTGTACCCGGTCTCATAATGTTATTTATTGTACTGCCTTTAATTTATGCATATTTAAATTATTTAAAAATACAACAATATTATTACAATAATAAGTCATGTTATACTGCATTATGAGAATCATAATTGACAATCAGCTATTTTAGTACACTGTAAAAAAATATTGATGGTTTAACTTAAAAAAGTAAGTAACCTGGTTGCCTTAAAATTTTAAGTTCATTGAACTGGAAAAAGTGAATTAATACAATGAAGGAGATTAATTTAGCCATCAGAAACTCACAATTATATGTTATCTGAGCTAAATAAATTATTTAAGTTGATTTGACAAAAGAAAAAATCTTGTGATTACTACACTGTAAAAAATATTGTTGGTTTAACTTAAAAAAGTAAGTAACCTGGTTTGCCTTAAAATTTTAAGTTGATTGAACTGGGAAAAGTGAGTTAATACAATGAAGTATATTAATTTAACCATCAGAAACTCAAAATAGTAAGTTATCTCAACTAAATAAATTATTATAAAGTTGATTTGACAAAAGAAATTATGTTGTGATAACAAATCTTGAAAATATTTTTTACAGTGTAGTTTTTATCTTACTTTTGTCTCGTTTTAAAATATTATTTAGGTTTATTTTATTTTATTTCAGTTTAGTTAATTTTTTATCTATTTAAAGTAAGTCATTTTAGTGCTACAAATTAAACATTTATGCATTTTCTTTAGTTTAAGTTTTTCATCTAATACTTGTATTTTATTTTATTTCAAAAATAAAAAAAATATTTTAAATTAACAAAAAATATATATTTTTAACATTAATAACCATAATGTACCTAAAAATACATCCAAACTTATTTTAGAAGTTTGCTGTATTGTCTACAAAATAAAACTGTTAGAATAGGCTTAAGATTTAATTTCTTTCAATTTCGAGGAGAATTATGAATATTTTTGAGAATTTAACCCAGTTATACTCTGCAACAGCACATTGTATTCAGTATTGTTCTCTTGTGTTGTGTTACATTAGAGATTATTTCTTTGGTAAACTGATGAAATACAAATAATCAAAGAGAATATTTTCTCTGATCTGGCCTGGGCCAATGAAAAATGATGAAAAGTTGAAAGGTTTATAAAGTAAAAGATACATTGACTTATAGCTGAACTGAACTATAAATATTCTTTGAACATGTATTGTTTGGCATAAACTACAGATTAATCCACTCGGTCAACGCTAGCTTAATATTTGACCAGTAAAAGACTGTTATCAACACAGAGCTTGTGTGTTCATTCCTCCTCGTGTGCCTGATCTCGTCATGGGACTTTCAGACAGAACTTAATATGATGATTTGTTTCTGTTTTTAGAGGCACTTCTGATGTGAAATTATGACAGTCACAGTTTTGTTGTACATCAGTTCAAGCACAACCTGTATGATCTGTATTTCCATGATGCAATGTGTGTTGTTGATAACTTCCCTGAGCCAAAGGGCAAAATCTGAAGAGGCTTCTGCAGGATTTAACAACAGGTGTGGGACAATGTGCTCTGTTATCCAGGCATAACTAGTGATAATAACGGTTTATACAACATTAAACAACCGTAGAATGAAACAGGGGTTTAAATCCAACAAACTTCACAGCTGTCTGATTTTATATCATGGAAAATATGTGGGAAAACACGTTTGACTGCTTTTCTTTTCACGTTGACAACTAGACAATGAGCAAAAGGAATTTTGTGTGTGTGTGTGTGTGTGCACTTATGCTTTGTCACTGCATGATAATCGTTCTCACTGACATTCACGCTCTCCCCTCAGAGCAACATTTCTTCTGTTAATAATTAATGACCTCTGATAACCTCTGCAAGTGGCCTGCATGTTTAATGTTTTCCGTATATAATTGTCCAGGGCGAGGAAAGAAGCTGAGCTGGAGAAGCGTTTCTCTGGACTGAGTGTCGAGCCGGAGCAGGTCGTGTTGTCGGATCAGCTGAAGGCCAGAGAGGAACAGAGAAGAGCAGATGAGGAACTCAAGGTACTGCCGTCACACACGCACTGACACGCATACACGCATTCTGCCCTGGTCTCAGTGTGTGTGTGTGTGTGTGAGTCAGGAGGAGAGGCGTAAGGCTGAAGAGGATCTGAGGAGGCTGGAGCAGGAGAGAAAACAGCAGATCTACATCAGCCTGAAGGAGAAGAAGCAGCAAGAACACACACACGACCAGCAGGACAACCACTGGCAGCAGACATGTAAACAACACACACACACACACACAGCCCTCACTTATGATCACATTCACTGGCAGCAGACATGTAAACAACACTCACACACAGCCCTCAGTTACTGATCACAACCACTTATCATATATCTAATCTAAAGGGTTCATGGGAGTTATGGTCCATCTCACAAAATCAAAGTCATATCACCCCCAAAACCAACAGGAAAATTTCCTTCCAAATCCTTGTTATTTTAAAGTGCCCCGATTATGCTATTTTGCAGTTTCCTAATGTTGTCTCCTACAACAGGTTAGCATGCATCAAAAGTCAAAAAACGTTTTAATTTTCTTATAAAATAGCCTACTTTTGCACATCATCACATTTTCAATGATTCTCAAACGTCTCATTGGATAAATAAATCTCTCTTAATACCTCCTTTCTGGAGCTACTTTGCCAGTCAGTCTGTTGTGATTGGTCTATTCTGCTCTGATTGGCCAGACAGCTCAGTTTGTTGTGATTGGTCTACACTGCTCTGATTGGCCAGAAAGCTCAGTCTACTCTTCTCTGCTCTGATTGGCCAGACGTCGCAGTCTGTTGTGATTGGTCTACTCTTCTCTGCTCTGATTGGTCAGACAGCTCAGTCTGTTGTGATTGGTCTACTCTGCTCTGATTGGCCAGACAGCTCAGTCTGTTGTAATCGGTCTACTCTGTTCTGATTGGCCAGACAGCTCAGTCTGCTGTGATTGGTCTGCTCTGCTCTGATTGGGCAGACAGCTTTGTCTGTTGTGATTGGTCTACTCTGCTCTGATTGGCCAGACAGCTTAGTCTGTTGTGATTGATCTACTCTGCTCTGATTGGCCAGACAGCTCAGTCTGTTGTGATTGGTCTACTCTGCTCTGATTGGCCAGACAGCTCAGTCTGTTGTGATTGATCTACTCTGCTCTGATTGGCCAGACAGCTCAGTCTGTTGTGATTGGTCTATTCTGCTCTGATTGGCCAGACAGCTCAGTTTGTTGTGATTGGTCTACACTGCTCTGATTGGCCAGAAAGCTCAGTCTACTCTTCTCTGCTCTGATTGGCCAGACGTCTCAGTCTGTTGTGGTTGGTCTACACTTCTCTGCTCTGATTGGCCAGACGTCTTAGTCTGTTGTGATTGATTCACTCTGCTCTGATTGGCCAGACAGCTCAGTCTGTTGTGATTGGTCTACTCTTCTCTGCTCTGATTGGCCAGAAATCTCAGTCTGTTGTGATTGATCTACTCTGCTCTGATTGGCCAGACAGCTTAGTCGGTTGTGATTGATCTACTCTGCTCTGATTGGCCAGACAGCTCAGTCTGTTGTGATTGATCTACTCTGCTCTGATTGGCCAGACAGCTCAGTCTGTTGTGATTGGTCTACTCTGCTCTGATTGGCCAGACAGCTAAGTCGGTTGTGATTGATCTACTCTACTCTGATTGGCCAGACAGCTCAGTCTGTTGTGATTGGTCTACTGTGCTCTGAATGGCCAGACAGCTCAGTCTGTTGTGATTGATATACTCTGCTCTGATTGGTCAGACAGCTTAGTCGGTTGTGATTGATCTACTCTGCTCTGATTGGCCAGACAGCTCAGTCTGTTGTGATTGATCTACTCTGCTCTGATTGGCCAGACAGCTCACTCTGTTGGTATTGATCTACTCTGTTCTGATTGGCCAGACAGCTCAGTCTGTTGTGATTGATCTACTCTGCTCTGATTGGCCAGACAGCTCAGTCTGTTGTGATTGATCTACTCTGCTCTGATTGGCCAGACAGCTCAGTCTGTTGTGATTGATCTACTCTGCTCTGATTGGCCAGACAGCTAAGTCGGTTGTGATTGATCTACTCTGCTCTGATTGGCCAGACAGCTCAGTCTGTTGTGATTGGTCTACTGTGCTCTGAATGGCCAGACAGCTCAGTCTGTTGTGATTGATATACTCTGCTCTGATTGGTCAGACAGCTTAGTCGGTTGTGATTGATCTACTCTGCTCTGATTGGCCAGACAGCTCAGTCTGTTGTGATTGGTCTACTCTGCTCTGATTGGCCAGACAGCTCACTCTGTTGGTATTGATCTACTCTGTTCTGATTGGCCAGACAGCTCAGTCTGTTGTGATTGGTCTACTCTGCTCTGAAAGTATGTTGTCTGCTGTGATTGGTCTTCTCTGTTCTGATTGGCCAGACAGCTCATTCTGTTGTGATTGGTCTACTCTGCTCTGATTGGCCAGACAGCTTAGTCGGTTGTGATTGATCTACTCTGCTCTGATTGGCCAGACAGCTCAGTCTGTTGTGATTGGTCTACTCTGCTCTGATTGGCCAGACAGCTCAGTCTGTTGGTATTGATCTACTCTGTTCTGATTGGCCAGACAGCTCAGTCTGTTGTGATTGATCTACTCTGCTCTGATTGGCCAGACAGCTCAGTCTGTTGTGATTGATCTACTCTGCTCTGATTGGCCAGACAGCTCAGTCTGTTGTGATTGATCTACTCTGCTCTGATTGGCCAGACAGCTAAGTCGGTTGTGATTGATCTACTCTGCTCTGATTGGCCAGACAGCTCAGTCTGTTGTGATTGATCTACTCTGCTCTGATTGGCCAGACAGCTTAGTCGGTTGTGATTGATCTACTCTGCTCTGATTGGCCAGACAGCTCAGTCTGTTGTGATTGATCTACTCTGCTCTGATTGGCCAGACAGCTCAGTCTGTTGTGATTGGTCTACTCTGCTCTGATTGGCCAGACAGCTAAGTCGGTTGTGATTGATCTACTCTGCTCTGATTGGCCAGACAGCTCAGTCTGTTGTGATTGGTCTACTGTGCTCTGAATGGCCAGACAGCTCAGTCTGTTGTGATTGATATACTCTGCTCTGATTGGTCAGACAGCTTAGTCGGTTGTGATTGATCTACTCTGCTCTGATTGGCCAGACAGCTCAGTCTGTTGTGATTGGTCTACTCTGCTCTGATTGGCCAGACAGCTCACTCTGTTGGTATTGATCTACTCTGTTCTGATTGGCCAGACAGCTCAGTCTGTTGTGATTGATCTACTCTGCTCTGATTGGCCAGACAGCTCAGTCTGTTGTGATTGGTCTACTCTGCTCTGATTGGCCAGACAGCTCACTCTGTTGGTATTGATCTACTCTGTTCTGATTGGCCAGACAGCTCAGTCTGTTGTGATTGATCTACTCTGCTCTGATTGGCCAGACAGCTCAGTCTGTTGTGATTGATCTACTCTGCTCTGATTGGCCAGACAGCTCAGTCTGTTGTGATTGATCTACTCTGCTCTGATTGGCCAGACAGCTCAGTCTGTTGTGATTGGTCTACTGTGCTCTGAATGGCCAGACAGCTCAGTCTGTTGTGATTGATATACTCTGCTCTGATTGGTCAGACAGCTTAGTCGGTTGTGATTGATCTACTCTGCTCTGATTGGCCAGACAGCTCAGTCTGTTGTGATTGGTCTACTCTGCTCTGATTGGCCAGACAGCTCACTCTGTTGGTATTGATCTACTCTGTTCTGATTGGCCAGACAGCTCAGTCTGTTGTGATTGGTCTACTCTGCTCTGAAAGTATGTTGTCTGCTGTGATTGGTCTACTCTGTTCTGATTGGCCAGACAGCTCATTCTGTTGTGATTGGTCTACTCTGCTCTGATTGGCCAGACAGCTTGTACTGAGGCTTTTTACACAGTAAACTAAACACGGCAACGAACAATGACGTCGATTTGACCATATCAGTCTTAGCGCGATGATGAAACATTGGAAGAACTAGTTATTCAACCCAAACCTCCATCGCTAGGGCAATTCAAGCAGGACTCAAGTGTTTCTTAGTGATACACTACTCAGTTTGAGGGAAATTATGAGATGTTCCAACTGTAATTCCTCACCATCAGCATTAACAAGTGCATGTCCATCAACAAACCGATTATTGTTGTTGTAGTTATTTATTTACAGAGTATTTTTCAAATTAATTCCAGTGCTATTAGTTAGTTAGCTATTATTAGGCTGCTGTCACTTTAAGCGTCACTTTACTGCAGATCCATTATAATGATACACACACATTTTACACCCAACTGTTTACTTTCACTTGAGTCATAACCAGCTGTTTACATGATTACAATGCAATGAAATGCATTTTGACATTATTGCGTGTGTATTTGACCGTTCAAGCGCAGTAAGACGTGAAAGAGAACTGAATTCACGATCGCATGCTTTCTGAGAGTTACGTCTTTCTGTGTGCGCAATTATGCTGAGTTCTTTTTCACTGCTTATTGTGCTTAGTAACACTTTTATCATCGAGCATGTGCCAAATTCATATATGTATACAGTAAATACAAATACTCATGCATGCATTATTGCTTTATTCTGCTTTACAGTAAACATATTTTAATTAAAAAATCATAATGGAGAATAATGAGAATAACTACTGTTTATTTGGTGTGAGATTGGTGACAGTGACACATGACAGTTGTAGACTGAATAGGGAAATTTTGTTGTGTTTTTGTTATTTTCTCAAACATGCACAGTAGGACTAACAGTGTGATTTTGCATATGTGGTTCCAGTGCAGAAATCAAAAGCCGCAGACGTGCGCAGACGGTCTCTAGCCAAGCAGACAATGGAGGACCACCGCAGGCGCTCAGTGAAAGCTCTTGAGAGAGGACGTGTAGCGGCCGTCACAAAGGCCTTCACCAGCCCAAATCCAGACCCAAACCCTCCACCTCCTCCTAAACCCAAACCCAGAAACACCAGCGCTGCCATTAGCCGGTGAGTGCCACAACCAGTGTCCCTCATCTCTGTGACAACAACTCCACAATAATTGCATAATTAAAAAGAAAAGCTGGTGGTTTCAAAGTCTTGGTGACCATGTTTGCATTATAAAGGTTGTTTATGTAGTACTCCCTTGAGTAATAAATGAGAGTTAGAGAGACAAAACTGTGTGTTATTTCAGTGGTCCTCTCTGTGCTCATAAATGCAAAATAAAATATATATAACTGCTTAAATATTTTTGTGACAAAATATACAGGGTGGTCACATTTACACTGGATTATTCCTGCATTCACGTAATCGGCATATTCCACATGAACTGTGAAAACTGTGCATGTCCTTTACCTGCAGTTAAAGGACCCAGAACCAGACATGAAGAATGAAGACCCGGAGTCAGAATTATAAAAAATTAAAGAAAAGTTTACTGAACATAGTTTGCAGTTTCATCAGCAGAAGTCAGCTTCAAGACTCGCACAGGAGTTCGTAGGCCGCCCCCTTAGAGTTACAAAAATCACAGCAGTTTTACCATTTTCAAGGTCTAAGATAGTCATTGCTTACACGTTGAATGATTCTCATTGGCTAAGAATTAGATAAACTCAGTAATTTTCCACATATATACAGATAGACGAAGCATATCTCCATCGATGATGTATCTGACATTCAGAGGCACGTAATGACCTTCCAGGTCACAGATTTGGGTTGCTGGCGCCAATATGTCCAGAACAACAACTCATTCAATCTCCAATAATGGCAGTGGTTCCTTAACCTGCAACTAAGAAGACTAACACTAAACTTTAGTCTAACTGGAGTAAGACTTTACCAAAGAAATGGTGCCTTAAACTGTTGGCTTCAATGACCCCTTTATGTTTTAACACTCAAACACAAACCAAAATCCCTATTTCCGTATTATTTTCACTGTTACCGCATTCACATAGGACACTAGCAAATAAGAGCTCCTATCTAGGCTGAAGAGAGTCTGAGCGGCTTATTATCAGTTAAGTGTACCAAAACATAATGGTAAAACATTCACTCGTTTGGGAGAAAAACAGATAACATTTGCTCCTCAGAAAGCAAATATAATAGAAAGTATACATTTTAATACAACAATTAAAGTTCAATATAGCAATGCTCAATATAGCTTGACCATCTGTACAGAGAAGTATCATGTGTTGGACATATGTGTTCACGACGCCTTTAGGATCCATAAACCTTTCTCCTGAGACCAGAGAAAGAGACAAATGGCCTTGTGCACCTAAAAGAAGCTGGTGACTTACATCAGCATGCATTTAAGTATATGATTTCACAAGCAAAAACACATATGTCAATAAATGGTTACGTAATAATGAATATCCTTAATTATTGCTTTTATAAAAGAAATACATAAGCATTCAAAAGAATGCTGAACAGGCAAGGGATTTTGACCACCCCTTCAAAACATTACCGGTAATAATTATTATCAATGTTGTAAACCTGCTATCTATTTAATAATCAGTAATGTAAGTACATGCCGAGACCTTGACTCATTCCACAATTGTAATGCCACCGTTCTTGTGCTATTAATAGTCTTCATTCACCAGTCATACTCACCTCAGGAATGTCATACTGCAGACTGTACATATAATTTACAGGAATTTCCTTTCAGCACATCTGAACAACACAATAGCTCACAATCTGAGCTATTCATAGAGCTCAATGTCTACTGTACGGCCTGTGTAAAGTTCAGTGTCTTAGCCTGGGTAAATATCTTTCCCACCGCTTCAGTTGCTCGGCTTGTGATGATCCAGGATTGGACAGAGATGTGATGAATGTGTCTTCTGTTGTGGTTGGCAGGAAGGCTGGTATGCGGCGCTCGTTTTCGGCGACTAGTCGAGACCATATCGTCCGCTGGTTTCGGGAGGAGCAGTTCCCCCTCAGAGCAGGATTTCAGCGCGACCACAGCCGGATCGCCCGCTGGTTTCACGGTGAGATACGGCTGTTCATCTGGACCCCCTCCAGTCCTCCCTCTTCAGACACACCAGACCCAGCAAGCTTCTAGAGCCTATACCATGAAGCCGGTTTAGGTGGCTAGCCAGTTATGTTGCAGTTTAGTTTGTGCCAACCCTGGGTTTTAGGCACCATGAAAGTGGTTTGGCTTTTAGCAGTGTTCATCGCCATAGTAACTAACGCTCCATGGCTAACCTGGCCTGGGGCAGGTTATGTTCTAGGTAAGAAGTTGCAAAACGAACTTGGATCAGTCAGCTGTGAGCAAAGTAAGTGACACATGTCTGACTCAACAAAGCCACTCCACCTGTTTCTACTCCAAATTAAAGAGCACTACACTAATTATTTTTAAAGACAAAATAATCTAGGCCCGTATTCATAAAGATTCTAAGAATCCTCTCTTTTACGTAGGAGTCTTAGCATAAGAGCGAATCGGGACCGATCTGAGAGCAACTCTGATTAAGGAAAAGACAAACTGACCTGAGGCTACGTGCTGCGTTTCGGTACAGTGCCACCTATTGGTCAGGAGGAATGAAAAATAGCCTTTTTTTTTGTTTATCTTCTGAAATTGTAAAACTGGTCTCTTAATTCAGTTAAAAGTTATAATCAAATTTGACAATTATGAATAGCTTTTGATTTATTTAGCTGGTCTGGTTAGATTCCTTGAGTCATATTGAGAATAATGATACCAATTATTACATAGTCAGTCGAAACTGCTGTCCGCCATTCTGAATTTCTTTGAAAACCTACTTTTTTTAAACTGTTCCTAAACTGTTGATGTGATATTTACCAAAATCAGCTCAAATCATTGTGAGACCAAACCACTGTGGAATAATGCATCAGCGAAATTGATGTCTTGATGCCTAGCTGATTCACTGCTTTGGCATATTGACACAAACTTTGCCTCTTCACACTGACCAGACAACAGTAACAGTGCCACCCATTGGTCAAAAGTGATAAGCAAGTAAAATCCTATCACATGTGATTGTATTTGTGATTTTTCAATTGCTTTGATTGCCTAAAATAATCTAAATCTCCCATCCATGCTTGCATAAAAAAATCATTTAGATTTGGGTTGTGCTTGGCTACTTAATTGTAGCTTGCAGTGATATTTGTCACTGTAAAGCTGCTTTAAAACATTTTAACTACATTTTTCCCCCCCAAAAAAAATCAACGACTGTATCTTTCCTGTTTAAATGAGTAAATGGTAAATGTAAAGTGAATGTTCCTGTGGTGTGCACTGCATTGACACTGAACGCTGCTGGCTTTCCTGTAATGTGCATCTCTCATATCCCCTTAGGTATTATATCTCGTGAACAGGCGGAGGCGCTGCTGAAGGACGGCGGGCCCGGGCTCTTCCTGGTGCGTGTCAGCGAGAGGATATTTGGATATGTGCTCTCCTATCGATCTAAAGAGGGAGTCAAACACCTGCTGATCGACGCCTCGGAGAACTGCTACATGCTCCTGGGAGACCAGATCAGATTCACATCACTCAGTGAACTCGTGGAGTATCATCAGGTGATGTACTGCGCACACCACTCGGGGTAAACCGAGCCGAGGTCTAGATTTCATCTGGCTGTGAGGGACAGAAGTACAGTGTGTTCAATGCATTGTACTTTTGTTTAACAACAGTTTTGAAAGCCACAAGTGATGTCCTTTATACAGTGCTTGTGGTGTTAAACACAAGTCTGTCTCTCACAAGCTTGAGTAAAATTCAATATGGTGTCCTAATATTGGTGTCTAATGTGTGGCACAATATGAAATCAGCCTTAAAGTCTTCAAATGTGTGGCCAGCATTGTTTGACTCATTTTGCATTTGTTCATACAGAACAAATCATTTCATTCTAAATGTAATGTTCACACTCCTATTGAATTAATGTTTATTTTTATTTTTACACTCACCTAAAGGATTATTAGGAACACCACTAATACTGTGTTTGACGCCCCTTCGCCTTCAGAACTGCCTTAATTCTACATGGCATTGATTCAACAAGGTGCTTAAAGCCTTCTTTAGAAATGTTGGCCCATATTGATAGGATAGCATCTTGATGGAGATTTGTGGGATGCACATCCAGGGCATGAAGCTCCTGTTCCACCACATCCCAAAGATGCTCTATTGAGTTGAGATCTGGTGACTCTGAGAGCCATTTTAGTACAGTGAACTCATTGTCATGTTCAATAAACCAATTTAAAATGATTCGAGCTTTGTGAGATGGTGCATTATCCTGCTGGAAGTAGCCATCAGAGGATGGGTACATGTTGGCCATAAAGTGATGGACATGGTCAGAAACAATGCTCAGGTAGGCTGTGGCATTTAAATGATGCCCAACTGGCACTAAGGGGCCTAAAGTGTGCCAAGAAATCATCCCCCACACCATTACACCCCCACCACCAGCCTGCACAGTGGTAACAAGGCATGATGGATCCATGTTCTCATTCTGTTTACGCCAAATTCTGACTCTACCATCTGAATGTCTCAACAGAAATTGAGACTCATCAGACCAGGCAACATTTTTCCAGTCTTCAACTGTCCAATGTTGGTGAGCTCTTGCAAATTGTAGCCTCTTTTTCCTATTTGTAGTAGAGATGGGTGGGACCCGGTGGGGTCTTCTGCTGTTGTAGCCCATCCGCCTCAAGGTTGTGTGTGTTGTGGCTTCACAAATGCTTTGCTGCGTACCTTGGTTGTAACGAGTGGTTATTTCAGTCAAAGTTGCTCTTCTATCAGCTTGAATCAGTCGGCCCATTCTCCTCTGACCTCTCGCATCAACAAGGCATTTTCACCCCACAGGACTGCCACATACTGGATGTTTTTCCCTTTTCACACCATTCTTTGTAAACCCTAGAAATGGTTGTGCATGAAAATCCGAGTAACTGAGCAGATTGTGAAATACTCAGACCGAACTGTCTACCACCAACAACCACGCCACGCTCAAAATTGCTTAAAGGGCACCTATTATGCCCCTTTTTACAAGATGTAATATTGGTCTCAGGTGTCCCCAGAATGTATTTGTGAAGTTTCAGCTCAAAATACCCCACAGTTAATTTATTATAACCATTTGAAAATGTCATTTTGGGGCCTGCTTAAAAATGAGCTGTTTCAGGGGGTATTCCACCTTAAATGCAAATGAGCTGCATATCCCCGCCCTGCCTTTGGATGAGGGCGTAACTTGATACCTATGGCAGGCAGTCGGTACTGAGAGAGTGAAGAGACGCGCCGTTTTGAATGTCATTCAGCCGTACGTTTGAATCGGAATATATAAATAGCATGAAGAGACTCCGGCAGAATAAACATATGAGAATGGACCAGTACGTCTCGGTATGGTTATTTGCTACTTTTATGTACTTTAGAGTTGTAATAGCGTCCCATTTGAAATGATGGATGTCCAACACACACACACACACACACACAGACACTAGCGCAAGTTTTTGAAACTACATACACATTCTGTGATAAAGTTTGCTACGTACGAGCGAAATTACATTTATGCGAGGGACCTGTGGCATCATGTTTAGCTTGTCATACGGGTGCTTCTGTGGCAAATGTGAGAAGATGGCTAACTTACAGAACACCAACATATATGCAGTTTTTAATACAATATATTTAAAAATATATATATTTATAAACGTGTGGTTACACACTATACAAACAAGGTTTTAAATTATATACACAGACATCCTACGACGGCAATAACTTTAGACGCATTTGTTGTTGAATTGGCTGACATCGACTGAAAAGACTATTTGCTCAAAAATCATAAAATACACTTACTGTTACTGGAGGTGACGGTGGATCGCAAACAGTAGACAAGAATCCACACTTGAGGATTAACTTTTAAGCCACAACAACAGGATTAACCCACGAGTCCACGACAGAACATTAATTTACGTTTCCAAGAGACATTACCGGCTGTCGTCGTTGAAACAATGAAGGATGGTGTGTACAGATCACCGAGGGCGGGGTCTAGGCCACAGCCACACTGTCAATCAACCCCCTGTCTCCCGTTCTACGTCACAAAGACCTGGATCTCAGAACAGCTCGTTCTGAGGCAGTGCAGATGATTTATTGAGATTGTAAAAAAACTACTGGATGGATTTTTATCATTCTAGGGTGGTTTTGCTCACACACTGCCAACACACATTTATGTTCAAACACCATGTAAAAGTGAATTTTCCATAATAGGTGCCCTTTAAATCACCTTTCTTTCCCATTCTGACATTCAGTTTGGAGTTCAGAAGATTGTCTTGACCAGGACCACACCCCTAAATGCATTGAAGCAACTGCTATATGATTGATTGATTAGATAATTGCATTAATGAGAAATTGACCAGGTGTTCCTAATAATCCTTTAGGTGAGTGTATGTACAGTATGTAGGATAAATGAGAGGCTTCTCCCCTCAGTGTGATTGTTAACATGGTGATAATGAGCACAGACACAGATTGGCATCTCACGCCTGCGAACAAGAAACATGTGCGTTCACATGCATGCCAGTCATAGGCGGAGAGTCATCGGGTTTAAATAAAAAGGGGCCATCGAGTGCGTTCCTTACACCAAAAACAAAGGAAAGGAACGTCACAATACACACCGTACAGCGTTCACAGCTTACATAAACCACTGCTTGATTCACATATTAGTTCTCACACCATATTGGTTATTGATGCAGTGCTTCAGTGTTGGCTACAGGTCAGTGTGCAGTTCAGCTCAAGCCGTGTGTAACAGTGTGTTTTCTGGCACCAGGTGGAGCCGCTGAGCTCGTGTGGAGAAGAGGAGTTTCTGCTGCAGGCGTGTGGACAGAGCGAGGCCACAGCGGACTATACCGAGCTCTTCACCTGACAAACACACACACACACACGTGTGGACAGAGCGAGGCCATAGCGGACTATACCAAGCTCTTCACCTGACACACACACACAAACATGTGGACAGTCCAAGACCACATCAGACTATACCAAGCTCTTCACCTGACACACACACACACACGTGCGGACAGATCAAGACCACAGCGGACTATACCGAGCTCTTCACCTGACACACACACTACTCTCAAATCAATCAGAACAAGACACAATCATGACTCTCATTACAGTCAGGTTCACATTTCATAAACACCCCATTTTTCAAGTATTGACTAACTGAAAAGTTTAAATTACCAATTTTATATCTAAATATATATGAGCCTGTTCCTTTGTGTAGAACAGGCCTTTTCCACTTCAGAAATGGATGTGATGTTGATGATTAGTAAAAGCACTCTTCATTTATCCTGAACTAACTATAGCTGGTTCAGTGTAAAGCAAACCGAATGTTATAGGTGTGACCGGGAATAATTGACAGGGCGAAATCATAACTTTGATGGAGCATAAAGAGTTTATTATTTTTATTCACAACAATTTAAAACACATTTTTGAAGCTGTGAAGTTTTTTTTTTCCCTCCAACACTTTACAATAAGTGCTGCGATATGAAAACATTTACACATTCAACAGTTTTCCTGTAAAAAAACAGCACATTTAGTTTTGCACTTGTAAAGTGAGTGGAAACATTATGAAGGAAACCATTAAAACACCCTCTCTTAACAAGAACACTCGTATTGGATTTGTTTTAGGGTTTAACTATGCTGTTCATTTTATACTCTGAAATGCAAGTTCAAATATAGAAAGGTCACTTCAATTTAATTGTTTAAACATACACAAGAACATAAGACAGAAAAGTGACTCAAGATTTGGAAATCTCACAAAAGTGTGCAAATTTAAGCTTCCCTTATTGTTGTGCGCATACTTCATAAACTACATAATCTCACCCAGAATGCATCAGTACGCTCAGATTCAGCTCACATAAAGACAGTCATCAGGAAATGTGCACCAATAACCCAGTCTAGAGACTGAAGTTTCCCTTTATGTATCCATTAATCACACAGGTTATATTTCAGCATTCACAACACTGTCACAGTGAGGACCGGGACAGAGCTACGAGATCACCTGACTTCCTCTCGCTCTCGGTTGAGAACTTGTGAGTAACTGGAAGCAACAGTGACGTTAGGCAGAACTCACATCTGCTCATCAACTCCGCATTCATGACGATTATTGCGATTATAAAGATTTTTTTTTTTTAAATGATCAAATCCCTGTTGAAACTTGAGCAAGGAAGAGCAGTTAAAAGCAATATGAAAAATCTATAACTTTTTTAAAATGTCAAAACTTCGATGTTTGGTCTCTTCGGGTGAGTTTCTTGAGATGAAAATCACGTGTACTTGTTTAGTAGGTTAATGCAGAATGGCCTCCTATGAGAGCTGGACCGGTCACATGAAGAACTGTCCGATCAGGTTGGCCCCCCCGAGGAGGATGAGGAGGCCGTGGAAGAGCGCCGAGGGCCAGCGCAGCTCTCCTCTGCGTCTCAGAGACACCATGTGGATCAGAGAGGGGAGCACGAACACCAGAGCCAGGCCACAGATGGCCCCCGAGTACCTGACGGCAAACACAGCAGTTTAACACCACGCGTCACACTGATCCTGGAGATTACACTGCACTGCTCTCACCTGATGATGGAGCCAATATTGGGGTAAAACCTGGCCGTCACAACTCCAGCTCCGACAACCAGGACGTTCAGCACAAACACATGGAGGAAACTAGCAATGGAGAAACAATCATGAAGACAGGCTCATCTTGTATAATCGGGCAGTGTTCTGCTCATAATATATGATTTCCAAGCATTGCGTATGATCATTTTCATGGGGTTTTGTAACTGTTTATAGGGGTGGGGGAAAAAATCGATTCTCGATGCGGACGTGGACGATCCTGAATCAATTCACAAATGTCAAAAAATCGATTTTAAAAAAAATGTTTTATATGTATAATAACGTAATATTGACGGAACGCGAAAGACGGAACTCTGAAGCGCGGAAGTGCAGTGGCGGGACCGTCTGTGGCGTGCACATAACAGAGATGAGATGGCACGCGAGATCCAAACACTTTCCTTGTTAGGTTAAAAGCTGACGTGTGGAAATATTTTGGCTTCTGAAGTTGAAGGGGGAAAGGAGCTGGAAAGAGCTAGTTGTACGCTTTGTGGAATAAAACCAACGACGGAAACACGACAAATATGATAAGCCATACGACACCTTTCCAGCCAGAGGAGGAAAAACACTCGGCTGCACCAGTCGTTATATTATTTATTTACTACAAGTATGCTCCTAGTTCAGGCACACATTTATTTTCCTGGTCGTTCTTTGTAATGTTAATAAAATATATTGTGCATTAATTCTTTATGGGTCATTAATTTGTACTTTTAAAGCAAATTATTTATAGTCACACACAAAAGATTCAGATAATCGATTTGTAACATTATAAATGTCTTGTACTTTAACTTTTGATCAACTTAATTTATCCTTGATGAATAAAAGTATAGATTTCTTTTTTCTTTTGCCCAAAAAATTAAATAATATTCTTACCGACTCCAAACATTTGAACGGTATTGCTTAATGTTACAAAAGCTTTCTATTTCAGATAAATGCTGTTCTTTTGAATTTCTGGGTGATTCTCTGAATCGGATGCCCTACAAGTCCCCCAAACTTGCTTCAAATATTTTCAATTGAAGGAAATCACAAAATACATTTTAATGCTGTCAATTAATAGAACCAGGTGCATTTGCATTATAATGCAACAAAATTGCTTTTGAAAAAAATTTAAAGTTAATAAATGTAAAGATAATGAGTTGCCTAAGTAGTAGACAACAAGCATGTTTGCATGTCCTCACTAACCATCATTATATTTTCAATGAATATGAAACAAATAAAAAGTGCAATTAATACCAAAATGTTGCTGCTGCTAATATAATCATATGTTGATCTAGTGTATTTTCGTTTACTGTTGTGAAATGGAAAAATCAATAATCGGTAATCGAGAATCGTTAATAATCGAAAATCGACTGTAATCGAATCGGGACTTCAATAATCGTAATCGAATCGGGAAATCAGACAGATTAACCACCCCTAATTGTTTATGAGTGAGGCTGTGGCGGAACTGAATGAAGGGAAGCGCAATACGAGCTGAAGCGTCATGCTTCAAGACGACTGATGTGTCAGCTTTTATACAGAGTGTAAAGTCTATGTGTGAGTGCGCTTTCGCAATTTTAATAACTTTTTAAACACACCCCGTTCTGCAAATGTGAGTGGTTTAACGAGTGTAAAGATGAACGATGTTTGCGATCAGTGTCAGACAAATGCAACAAACATGAGAGGATTGTGAATGACAGTGCAGTGACGTATAGGTCACATAATAATGACATCATGGTGGATGTAGTACATCTAGATTACATTGATACTATAGAACAGCATTGGCTGCTCTAGCCCGAAGAATAAACTTTTTTAATGCTATTTGAGCATAAGAAACTACATTTTATGCGTCAGTTCATGACAGATTCTGTTGTTGATTTCAAAAATGTCGTTTAATTGTGAGACAGGACTTGGTCTTGGATGCTTTAAAGACGTCTCTAATATGACCGGCGACTCAGACTTCGCTTTATATCAGTTATTTGTTAAAGCCTCCTTATTTACTGTTCAAGAAAGTGGAAAAGTGGACCTTTTGACGATATTTTATATAAATATATTGATATTTATTGTTTGTTACCCTTATTTCATTCAGAGGAGCAACATTTCATCCAAACAGACATGAAGACTCAGACGGAGAGCTCATGTGTGTTTCAGTGGATGCGTCATGCAGCTTTAGAGAAGGCAGAAGCAACACTTGTGATCATGTCACAATTATTTCAAGTAATTTGCTGTTTTGAAGCTTGCTGAAGACATCTACTGGCTTAAAAAAACATCTATAAAACTCTATAATCATCTACTCTATAAACATCTATAAAACTCTATAATCAGCAAATACCATTAATTATAATGTTAAATGCCACAAACATGTTTGTAATAACACTTTTACAGAGAATCCCAATTCTACTCAAACGATCAAAACTGACTCAAGAGATTGTAATACTGGTTTAAGGGTTCAGTTGAGGTTCATAACATGTCAACATCAAAACGCTGACTTTTCTAAATGTTTTAAAACAGTACGATGTAAAGTCAGGTGATTTGGTTACAAAGCACTGATTTGAAGCAAAAGATTTGAAAGGCACCCATCATTAGCCACAGTTATTACTCATTACCATCTACACAACTTCGGTAACACTTTAGTTTAGGGTCCAATTCTCACTATTAAAGGAGTAGTTCACTTTTAAAAAAAAACGTTTGCTGATAGTTTACTCACCCCCATGTCATCCAAGATATCCATGTCATTCTTTCTTCAGTTGAAAAGAAATTGAGGTTTTCGATGAAAACATTCCAGGATTTTTCTCCATATAATGGACTTCAGTGGGAACCAAACGGTTAAAGGTCCAAAAGACACTTTCAGTACAAACTGCAAACTGTTCAACGGGTTTTAAACGATTCCAGACGATGAATAAGGGTCTTATCAAGCGAAACGATCGCTCATTTAATAAATAAATTACAAAGTTTAAGTTTTATAAGCTCAAATGGTCACTTTGCTCTGTTCTGTGATGCGCGTTCGTGACTCTCCTGTTTAAACTCGTTTATCAAAATGAACGCATCTTTTTCCGAGTCAGTCTGTTCATTTCATTCGTTGAATGAACCAAATGACACAAAAAAATATTTGTTCATTTTGATAAACGAGTTTGAACAGGAAAGTCATGAATGAGCATCACAGAACAGAACAAGGTGACCATTTTAGCTTATAAAACTTTTTTTTTTTTTTTAATGAGTAATCGTTTCGCTTGATAAGACCCTTATTCATTGTCTGGAATCGTTTAAAGCCCTTTGAACAGTTTGCAGTTTGCACTGAAAGTGTCTTTTGGATCTTGAACCATTTGGTTCCCATTGAAGTCCATTATATGGAGAAAATCCTGGAATGTTTTAATCAAAAAACTTCATGTCTTTCTTTCTTCAGTCGAAAAGAAATTAACATCTTGGATGACATGGGGGTGAGTAAATTATCAGCAAACGTTTTTTGAAAAGTGAACTCCTTTAACTAGCTGCTTATTAGCATGCATATTAGGATATTGGCTGTTTATTAGTACTTACAGGTGAAATTAGAATATCGTGCAAAAGTTCATTTCAGTAATTCAACTTAAAGGAACACTCCGACTTTTTGGGACTTTAGCCTATTCACCTTACCCCCCAGAGTTAGATAAGTCCATACATACCTTTTTCATCTCCGTGCGTGCTATAAGTCTGTTTGACGCACCCACCGCTAGCCTAGCTTAGCACAAAGACTGGATGTGAATGGTTGCAGCTTTCATACTAATCCAAATGAGTGACAAAATAACGCAAACGTTTTCCTATTTACATGTTGTGATTTGTATAGTCACAGAATGTACAAATAACAAAGTCAAATGAGACACAGACATCTTTTAACCGTATAAAACCTGGGAACTATTCTCTGAAGGCGAAGCACTGCTACTTTGACGGAGTAATAACCGCATCACCGGAGACACGCCGTGCTGAGGAGAGTTCGCTCAGAGTTTGGGTAACAGAGTCAGCAATTTATAAATAGTAAAAACGTAGTTTACAGTCATGGGTTTTCGCTCTATTGTAAATAGCTGCGACTGTAAACAGGGGAGGTAATACCATGTTTCACAGAATTCCAACTAAAAACGCTGACTGGATGAAGAAATGGCTAACTTACTCTGGATATTTATCCAAACACACCTAAGATTATCAAGGGACATTATGTTTGCTCGGTACATTTCAATGAGGACGACTATTTTGAAAAAATGGAATTTGCCACACGCATCATAATGTGCTGAAGGATACGGCCATCCCATCGATAGCACAGACAGGACAAGTGGATTACCTGCGGCTGAGGTAAGTGTTATGTTTTTAGATGACCTACTGTAACAGTGCCATTAGCCAGATCTAATGTAACGTTAGTGACACTATTATATGATTAGGGTATGAATATGTTTTTATCTTGATGCGGTGCGGACGCGCTTGGAAAAAAAACGAGCGCGTTCACCGCGTTGAACTTGCACCCTGCGCGCGGCGCGCCTAGTAGCCTAAATTTGAAATAGGCTAACCATGGAAATAACGAACTTGAGCGTGCAAAAGGGTACGATAGGCTGTGAGTTCATTGTGCAAAAACAATTTGTGCTATTACTTTCCCCTTATTCTATCCTATAGTAATGCAATACTGTATATTATATAGGCTACTGTTGAATACATTTGGTTCAGCTAATAAATTGCATTTAAAATATATTGATTCCTGTAATAATAATTATTTATTCATGTGATATTTATAAATCTGGATGCGTTTTTGGTTGGAAATCAATGAAACATGGTATACCTGGTCTCCCCTGTTTATTGTCACAGCTCATACAATAGGCTAAAGCAAACACCCATGATAAACTGCTTTTCTATCTAACGTTAGTAATTGCTGACTCTTTATTCCAACACTGAGCAAAGCGAACTCTCTGCTCCTCGTCACGGTGCGTCTCAGGTGATGGTTATCACTCTGCCCATAGCAGTGCTTCGCCTTCAGAAAATATAGTATTTATACGGTTAAAAGATGTCTGTGTCTCATATGGCCTTGATATTTGTACACTCTGTGACTATACAAACCACAACATGTAAATAGGAAAACGTTTGCGTTATTTTGTCACTCATTTGGATTAGTATGAAAGCTGCAACCATTCACATCCAGTCTTTGTGCTAAGCTAGGCTAGCGGTGGGTGCGTCAAACAGACTTATAGCACGCACGGAGATGAAAAAGGTATGTATGGACTTATCTAACTCTGGGGGGTAAGGTGAATAGGCTAAAGTCCCAAAAAGTCGGAGTGTTCCTTTAAAGGGTGAAACTAATATATATTATAATAGACTCATGCAAAGAAGAGATTTTTTTTTTTTTTTTTTTTAAAGAGAGAGATATTTCAAGCCGTTATTTGTTATAATTTTGGTGATTATGGGTTACAGCTTATGAAAACCCCATATTCAAAATTAGAATATTGTGAAAAGGTTTTCATAAGCTGTAACCCATAATCATCAAAATTATAACAAATAAAGGCTTGAAATATCTCTCTCTTTAAAAAAAAAAAATCTCTTCTTTGCATGAGTCTTTTATAATATATTAGTATTCTCATATATCATATTCTCATTTTCCAGTTTCACCTGTATAATAATGCACATATTAATGTTTACATACTTATTCTGCATAGCCGTATTCTACATCCCATAATTCACCCAATACCTAAACTTAACAACTACAAAAGTCGTAGTTGATATTTAGGTAATAGTGAGACTGGGTTAGAATAATGATTGGTGCCCACAGTTATCACTGACCCTGGGTAATGATCCCCGAAGACTTGTCCCATGAGCTGCACGCGCACCAGGTACCCGAGCAGCGGATACACAGTGGTCATCTGGAACAGGAGGAAGGTCCTCGCCACGAACACCAGCACATCGTCGCTGGGAAAGTTATCCAGGAAGTTCTGTAATAATAGAGGAGAAAATCCACTTCATGTCTGCACCTCAAACGCCTTATTCCAACAACTGAACGTGTATGATGCTCCGTTTGCAGGTCTTACAGGCTCGATGCACTCTTTAGACAGCGGGGGTGATGGGAAAGCAGCGAAGATCAGCACTCCCACATACAGGTACGTCAGTCCCACCAGCAGGTACGCCAAGGACAGATCCCGCACCTGAACACACACCACACTCAGATACAGTCTACACCAATGACAGCGGTTAGAACAACTAAGGAAGCAGCGTTACTATTATACTGCAATCAACTATAAATACTTGATGATGATTAGAGCCCGACCGATAAAGGATTTTGAAGGCTGATACCGATACGAATATTTGTTGGTTTTAAAATCCGATATATCGGCCGATATATATATATATATATATTTTTTTTTTTCAGAAACGTGCAACAAAACATTAACAGATTTCCCTAACATTAGTTATTTGTAGTTATGTATGAGTTTTAACTAAAATAATATGATAATGCATTTTTGAGTTGGTCTCGTGACCAACTCACCATGAACACACTTCACCGATGATCTCACTCGCAGATAACTGGTTCTCTCTGCCTGAATCTGGTTTGCAGAATGTGAGTGTTGCCAACAGGGATGCTGTAGAGTGCCCTCTGGTGGACAAACTATACAACTCCAACACTCATGACATGGTTGAAGCGTGTTTTGTCCGTTTTTAATTTATTTTTTAAATATTCATTTATCGACCATTATAACTGCCGATAGTTTGGAAAATGCCTAATATCGGCCGATAATAACGGCCTGCCGATATATCGGTCTGGCTCTAATGATGATTATAATAAAAGTGGGCTGTACTGTTATTTAATGTGTTTTTGGATAATTCGGCTGACAAAAGACTGCAAGAATCTCTTTACAAAAAAACTAAGTAGTCAAAAAACTCCAGACAACATGATCTGTGGAAAATTAGAAGTGAAAAGACGGTAAGCCTGTCCCTCACTGCTTGTGGCGCTGCTCTGAATAAGGTCTATAATATGATGATGAGCAGCGTGTGTGTAAATGAAACGTCTTCACTCGGAAACACACAGAGCAACACACTTTATGTTTCTTCAGGTAAATCACAGTCTTTGATATGATAAGATATAGTCGCCATTTCAGATTCATTTAAATTCATTGTTCAGACCAATTTGATTATTAATGTTAGATTTGATTTAATCATTAGGTTTTCTTCAGCTTGTGGACCCCCTGAGGTTCCTTCACGAACCCCGGTTTAGGAAACCCTGTTCTATAGCACCTCAACGCTCCTAAAAGTTCATTATGCAATATATATAACCCATTGTTTTTGGTGAAATGTTATCTGGGAGACTCACTCCAAAAGAAAAAAGAAAAGAAATCTTCATGTTGCAGAAACACTTCCTGTGTTTGCTCAGTAACTAGACAATGTGAAATGAAGCATTATGACCAAACTACTCAAGAATCATGACATAGACAGAAAAATGGCTGACAGTGAGATTATTTCTGTTCCTACTGACCACAATGACTCTACTCCTATTTCCCCTTTGTAAAAGGTCAGAAACACTATGTCTCAGTCACTTTTGCACACAATGCAGAAGTATGATGTGTGGAATATGAATGTGCTGAGTTGGTGATCATGCAGTGATGATGACAGACGGAGAACACTCACATTGTTTTCTTGATGTCTGTTGTTCTTCATAAGCGTGATGATGCAGTTGTGAATGAAAAATGCTAATGTGAGAACTCCACTCAGCTGAACAAACATGGATCTGAACTCTAAATCAAGCCAGAGACAACATACATCAGTACGTGCTTATTATTCACACTACCACACTTCTCTTTCACCCGACTCCAGTCGAGGCTTTGCTTGCTGAGTACATCATGGGAAAGAAACCACAAACTAAATGGGGGTTCGCAAAACTTTTCCATCTGTGGATTCCTGATTTTGCACTTGAATTGGACATTTAATGTCATGTAAATTGTCTGTCAATCAAAACTTTTACAGTAATTTACAGGGATTGTTGTGTGAAAGGGGGTATTGGTGGTGTTTCAAAAGTTAAACAGCAAATGGGGTCAAAGTTGAATTAGCTTTCTGAAACTTTAAACGCTTCAACTACACAGTGCTGAGCTTGTGGCTTGACGCTTGGCTTGTTTCAGGTCATTGCAATGGGTAGGGTGAAAGGAAATCAATAAAGAACCATAGATATGCCTTCAAAATGTGTTTACAGATGATTTCATGAGTGGTTTCTCAAGTTGCTAGATTTTAGGGGGAAAAAAATAAATAAATAAATAAAAATTCCTTTACCTGGAACAAAAAACATTGAAGAGTCGAACCAGTGGAACTCCAGGTGAAAGCCCAATCGAATAGCTTTATATGTGACCAAAAAGATGAGATAGACCACCGATATAGTGCCTGTGGAAAACAATGAAAGCCTCTTAGACAACAGGTTGACACTGCAGAAAACACAAGCTGCTGTTCATATCAGTCCTAACACACCAATGGCAAGATTATTCCATTTTAATGGACCAGAAAGTCAGAAACCGTCCTGTTTCGTGTGATAATGACCCAGTTCAACATGTAACCTCTCCGTGTATTTTCACATCACTGCTACATTCCTTGCACTAACTCACCATCCCAGATCAGATCAGGTCCAAAATACTGGTCTAAGAGTGCAAGATAATTCATAAACTAGTACCCCGACATACACACATGACAGACTAACATAGCAAAACTTATAACACCCTCAATTCCAAGTGGATACATGTGTATATGCCAAATGCCTTGATATCTAAATGTCTTAAAGGGTTAGTTCACCCAAAAATGAAAATTAAGTCATTAATTACTCACGCCCATGCTGTACCAACCCCAGAAGACCTTTGTTCGTCTTCGGAACACAAATGAAGATATTTTTGATTAAATTTGAGAGCTGTATAACTACCACATAGGCTCCTAAAGGACTGGCCCTTGACTGCCCAGAAAGTCAATGAAGAAAATGTTTAAATATCCCATGTGACTACAGTGGCTCAACTATATGTTTATCAAGCGACGAGAATACTTTTTGTGCGAAAAAACAAACAAAAATAACGACTTTATTCGACTATTCCTTTTCTTCCTTGTTGGCCTGAAACGAGACTTCAAGAGATTTCCACGACGCATGCGCTAGAACTGAACTGAAGTAGTTGAAGGAGATCGCAATTCACGCACATGCGTCGTGGAAATCGTATTGAAGTCTCGTTTCAGGCCAACAAGGAAGAAAAGGCTTAATAGTCGAATAAAGTTGTTATTTTTGTTTGTTTTTTCACACAAAAAGTAGTCTCGTCGCTTGATAAACTTATAGTTGAGCCACTGTAGTCACATGGAATATTTAAACATTTTCTTTGACTTTCTGGGCCGTCAATAGCCAGTCCCTTAGGTAGTCTATGTGGTAGTTATACAGCTCTCAAATTTAATCAAAAATATCTTCATTTGTGTTCCGAAGACGAACGAAGGTCTTACAGGGTTGGTACAGCATGGGGGTGAGTAATTAATGACTTAATTTTAATTTTTGGGTGAACTAACCCTTTAAATGTGCCTAAAACACCATTTTTGATGAAACATTATCCCTCTAACTGTGAAAATGATGGTCCCATACCTAGGAAAGTGAACCTGGCGAAGAAGGACGCGGAGCGGAAATTGAGCAGCGGCAGCAGCAGAACGATGAGGTAAAACGGGATGGTGTTGGTTTTACTCCACCAGAAGTCGAACACATGACCTGTGCTGTTCTCACGCGCGTAGTTCAGTAGAGCGCTGCTGTTCCCGTGTGGATCCACATCTGGATACGGGCAGATCACTAGTGCAAGAGGAACACACCTTCTCATTTGGAATCAATGAATGAAGGACATGAAATGAAGCTTCAATGACCAAATGAGCATATCTAAACATAATTTTCCCAATGTTAGACCAACGTTTAAAAAAGCAATGTTTCAAGCAAATCAGCTCTAAAGTTATAAGTAGATTTTTTTTAAAAGCAACAAAAAACCCATAATTTTTACATTTTCACTTCAGTAGATACTTGCATTTTGTGATCTTCATAATCACATTTGTTATAGTGTCACAAAAATGGTTTGGAATATCAAAAATTTAGTGAAGAATTTTTGTGAGGCCATGTCTGAAAATCATATGATGCAAAAAATGGTCAATTCGTGAGAGGATTGTCACAAACCTCTAGGAAATATGGCAGAAGGGCTCATGTTTCATGCATAACTTCCCAACCACTAGATGTTGCCATCTCAAAATTACACTTGAATGACAAAAAGACACTTACCAAGTTGTATTCAAATAAAATACAGCTTTTTGCGAGAAAAAAACCCCCAAATCAATTACTACTAATAATAATAATCATAAAAACACTGACGACTCACCTCTATCTGTTCCATTTGTGCCAAAAGTATCTGATGAGCTGACATTGTGAACATAGTCTGTGGATGCAATATACACAAGCAGTTAACATAAACATCCCATCAGCTAATGGACGGCAGGAAAACACGAGGAATGCTGGGAAAACCATCACTTACTGTAAATGAATTTCCCAGTATTGAACAGGAAATTGGACATGAGAACCCAGTAGACCACCATTGCACCAACCAGTGACACCAGTGAGAAGATGAGACTCGACCATTTTCCAAATCCCCCAAAGTAATATTTACACACATCAGGAAACTCCCAGTCTGAGGTATCCATATAAGCTGCAAACACAGAAGTCATGTTATCCCATATGGGAGAAGTCAGGAAAATCCCTTGTCTTGAAACGGAGCATTAGGCCTTATAGAACCTCTAGGCAAAGAGTCCTAAGAGAAAAATACCATTTGTTGTGGAGTTAATATTTGATACAGTTGGAATTTATGGCTCATACAGTATGATATCGTGAGAATATAGAGCTCAAACCCGAAGAGGTACAATGAGTATAGCCCCCAATGAGTATTAGCCCCCAATGAGTATTCAGAGGCCCAAACAGAGCTTGATGGTGTTTTTAGCCCCCAATGGGTTAGGGTTAGGGTTAGCCCCCTTACAGGCAGCTAACCCTAACCTCATCCCTAAACCTACCCATCCCCTCGCTGCCTGGAAGGCTCCGTTGGGGGATAAAAACACCAAACACGCCAAACAGAGCAAACATATGAAGAGTTCAGATGCAAAAGCCTCTAAATGCCATTTGAAATGTTCTTCTTTAATGGCGATTTTTATCAAGCTTGTATATTTAAGTTCAGTAATTTCAATTAAATGGCAATGATAATTACCTATTAATTGTTATTTAAGTGAAATTACTGAACTTAAATATACAAGTTTGATAAAAATCATCATTAAAGAAGAAAATTTCAAATGGCATTTAGAGGCTTTTGCATCTGAACTCTTCATATGCAGTTTGGATCAGATTCTGATATTTAATGGCCAAAAAAATGATGAAATTGAGATAGCTTGGAATCAAGATCTTTAGAACAGCAGACTACTGACATAACATCCGTACAGGGCCTGAAATTAACACCCGACCACCTGCCAAATGCGGGTGAATTTTGCTATTGGCGGATAACACTGTCAATCTACCTGCCACATTGGCAGGTAGCCAATGAGAATTGTGAGTGATTCATAGGATTTTTACATTTCAACGAAGTCCACTATTGCGTTTGACTTTAGCTAAAATGTGGCAACAAAAAGATGAGGATGAGAAAAAGAAAAGTAAAGAAGACATTTTAATACAAAGTGAACAATCGGCGGCAATGGCAAGGTTCGTGAGCGGCTGATTTATGACAGCGACTGTTGTTTCGTAACGTTCATGCGATCAGAAAGAAGATGAGGCTCTTTTTCTGACTACGTGTGCGAGTATTAAACTGTTGATGAGATGGGATGAGATAATGTAACGCGTCGCTGTTGTAGGTTAAAGTACAATGACAGTTGCACAGATGTGTGTGCGTGTGCAATGCGCATGTTGGGAGTTGGGAACCGGTGAGAAAATGTCCGGTACCCGGTAATTTTATCAGTAATAACAGTATCAATTTAGTTCATTTTTAACCGTTCCTGAACGCTGTAACTAAAAGCTGTTAAGAGTAAGACCTACGTGACTAAATCCGCCATCAACACAGCCGCGTGTGATTTGTTTACGAGCTGCGGTAGGTCTATCTGTTGAGTATATATTATAGCCTATACTATATATGTTGTGTGTGTGTGTGTGTGTGTCTGTCAAAATCAATGAATAAAAAGATTTTTTTTTTTTTTTAAAAATGTATGTTATTAGAGTTATTATTACTTTTTTTTTTTTTTACGTTTATGAGGCAAAAAAAAAAATGGCTGGTAAAAAGTCTCTTTGGCAGATGAATTTTTAAATCCACCTGCCACAGTGGCCGGTGGCCGAAAAAATTAACTTCAGGCCCTGCATCCGTATAAACATCAGTTGTCACACTTAATCTGCCAAACATGTCTTTGTAAGATATATAAATGCTTTATTATTTATTTAGTGTTATGATCAAAGCTCTGTAGTTTTAAAACATAGAAACAACATTCCTCAAAAGCCTGATGTAAAAATGAAAAACTATGTATGGATAATCAAGTAAATCATGCTGCTTAGTCCAGTGCGGGTGTAAAAAATGAGAAAGATTGGCTGTTTATTTGAGTCATGTGGTCGGCTTACGTATGGACTTTGTGGACTTTAATACTCTGTAGCAGCAGTAAAGCGTCAGCAGGCCCATGAGAACAATGATGATGATGCCCAGAGTGAAACCAGCCTAGAACAGAGCCAACAACAATGCATTTTCACAATAGCCTGCAGTGAGGAAAATAAATACAGTACACACACAAAAAGTTAACTTACTTGTTTTATTCCCCATGGTATACTTAATATAGATGTTCCCATCATAGTGTTCCATATGGCAAAGCTGCACACACACACACAAAATAAGCAATAATGACTGCGTGTACATCGCAAGAAATGTCACAGTGTAAATCCACTTGCTCATTTAAAGGGGTGATGAAATGAGAAATGAAATTTTCCTTGAGCTTTTGACATCTAAGAGGTCATCATATTGTAAGAATATCCTGTAAGTTTCAGAACTGAAAACATCCTTGTTAGTCCAATAAAAGCTTTTATTGACACCAGGCTCAGCAAACGACTCGTTTTTCAAAGTGGGGAACTACGACGATCAAAAGAGGATAAAACACCACCTCAACAGAAGAAGATCAACGCCTACTTCAACACGGCCGTTAGCCCCGCCCACCGATTTGCGCATTACACGCATAGCTAAATAACATAGATGCCTACCTCGTGATGACAAACCGGATCGAGCTACCGAGCAATAGAGCAGATGAGGGTAAACATTTTCCGTCTGTTCGCTTCATTTCACTGAGGATTGATTTGTAAACAAGTCTGGATTTGCAGACCGATTAAGAGTAAAGAACGGTGCTGTGCCGTCTATATTGGATCCAACAGGAATGGTGCAACACACGGACTCTGGGTTGAACATATATGGGCGAATCCTTCCGGTTGCCATTTTACAACATTGGACGTTTTCAAAACAATTTCCCCCACTTGCACCAACGGGTGAGTTGAAACTCATTATAATATGCAAAACTGTTATCCACTCGCAGCTGTGGGCGTTTACTTCCAAGTCTTCAGTGCGAGACGCCCATAAAAATCTAGCGTTTTTCAGCTAGGCTCAAAACTAGGGTAGAAAATAGCCTAGTACTTATTCATTTTGATGTTTTTGAATGCAAAAACCAAGCGAACGTCATAAGTTGACCTCAGACAACAATATAATAACATTTAAAAAGCCAGTTCATGACCCCTTTAAAAATCCAAATACTGTATAACCCTCAAACCGTATTCACTTTATAGCCCCTAATATTGTAATTGTGGACAAATGTGGGCACAGAGGACTAATTTTTTTTGTGATCCTAATTTTTATTTATTATAAATGTTATATCACTATCTTTGATAAAGTTTTGTCTATCCATTTTTGGTGTGCTTTTTTATTTTGGGGGTATTTTCGAATTTATTTACTTCAAAAATTACCATATTTTCTATGTAAATTATGCTATTTTTTATATTTTATTTTTAAAAATTTTTTAACTACATTAAAATATCATTCCAATAAGTTCTTAGAGCTAAAACCTAAAGATGAAGTGACTTTGCAGTCAGCTTGTGTCTTATTTTGGCTTATTAGAATGCTCTAAATTACAGTTTTTCCCATTCATTTCCATGGGTGCCCATTTTTGACCCAGTTTTTTTTTCTTCACCCACTTAACATTGTAGAATTGAGTCAAAAAAAAAAATTGTGTTTGTTCAGGAGGCAAAAATGTAGCCAAGTCTTGTACCGCTCAGATCAAGGGAAGTATTTTTTAAAAATAAAATTAAAACTATTTTGCCCACATTCGTTCAGAATACGGAGTTAAAGCCCATTAATATTGATCGAGGAAAGTATTGTTTAGTTTTCTGACTGGTTGTCTTTTGGTAATCAACTCGACGTAACATTCTGGCTAGCTTTGGCACTTCAAAACTGGGTGTGAAAATCACTGCATTAAAAGCCTTTATAAGAATGGTCTTACATTGTGACAATGCTGGGGTTTTTGGCAGTACTGTCGCCTCCTTGGACTTTGAACGCTGTTCCCAGTGGACTGTAGATATAGAGGTCCTCGAGAGAAGGAATCACATGGTCTGGCGGTGCCTGAGGAAGATAAGGTGCATAAACAAAAGCATTACATCACAGTACAGGACATGACCACAACCTCCAGGAGTCCCCAAACAACTGAGGCACTGTCCTAAAACACTGCTGGAAACACATGCATTGCTGAAGACCGTGCTAATCTGGGTTTAGAAACGCATCCTCCACAAACCAAACCAGGAAAAATCAAAGCAACTGGAAAATTGAAATCATACACAGATTTAAAACGGCATATCAGTGAAATAAGGCAGGATAAAGATGGAGTTGCCCTCAAACAATGAATGAATGTTATGCTTTCACTTCACAGAAAGGAAGACTATTGCGTTGGTGTTGGTGTTTTTCATTTGTCCATTTGCCATTGTTGTGTGAGTTTGTGCGGGTAAAATAGAGTAATTACAATAGTAATCCATACGATTGTGAATTTCACGAGGGGGAGGGTTAGGTTTTGTAATGTGGATGTGTTGTGTTGACCAACGGGAAGCTGCTCGTGTGGAAGTAATCTCTGTGTGAGCGGCGCTTCATACATCACTACACTAATGATAATAGACAATTGACCTTTTAGCCCACAAAAAAAGCTTAGCAGAAAGCACTGCAAAACAGTGGCTCACTACGCTACTACTGACGTCACAAGTTGCACAAATTGTTCTTTAGGCCTAAGTAGAGACTGCGTATGTTCGTTTGGCCAGAAGCCGGTTAATTTACTTTGTAACATGTTAAAAATGTATATTTCTTTTACACGAATGCATCGCTTCGCTTCAGAAACTTTACTAACCTCTCAGAGCCATGTGGAGCAGTTTTATCATGGACAGATGCATTTTTATTATGAATAGATGCACTTTATCATGAATGGATGCACTTTAATGATGAATATGCACTTATCATGAATAAATTTACTTCTATAATGGAGATGAACATTTATCATGGATAGATGCACTTTCATCAAGAATAGATGCACATTTATCATGGACAGATGCACTTTTATCATGGATAGACGTTTTTTTAATCAAGAAAAGATGCACATTTATCATGGACAGATGCACTTTTATCATGGACGGATCCACTTTTATCAAGGATAGATGCACATTTATCAAGGATAGGAGAATTTTAATCATGGATAGATGAACTTTTATCATCGATAGATGCACTTTTATCATGGATAGTTGAACTTTTATGATGGATAGATTAACTTTTATCATGGATAGATGCACTTTTATCATGGATAGATGCACTTTTATCATGACTAAATGCACTTTTATGATGAATAGATGCACTTTTACCATGGATAGATTAACTTTTATCATGACTAAATGCACTTTTATCATGAATAGATTAACATTTATGATGAATAGATGCACTTTTATCATGAATAGATGCACATTTATCAAGGATAGATGAACTTTAATCATGGATAGATGAACTTTTATGATGAATAGATGCACTTTTATCATGGATAGATGCACTTTTATCATGGATAGATGCACTTTTATGATGAATAGATGATCTTTTACCATGGATAGATTAACTTTTATCATGACTGAACGCACTTGTATGATGGATAGATGCACTTTTATCATGAATAGATGCACTTCGATGGGCTACAAAACAGAAACGACCATTCACTGTCGTTATAAAGCTTGGAAGAACCAGGATATATTTTTTATTTAACTCTGATTGTACTTGTCTGAAAGAAGTTGTCATATACACGTAGGATGACTTAAGGTTGAGTAAATCATGGACTTATTTAATTTTTTGGGTGAACTATCCCTTTAATAAACCTCCTAAACCTGTTGTTGCTATTGTCATGTTTGTCCTCACACAGAGCCGCGCTCGTGAAGCCTGTGCTGGTCGTGAGGTGTGGAGGGTGACCCACCAGCAGTCTGTCTGAGGAGCCGGTGAGACGGCTGTAGTAGTGGACTCTGCTGCTCAGCACCGCAGCTTCAGCAGAAACCCTCTCTTGTGCCGAAGAGTCCTCCACAATGTTCCTTGGCTCCACGTGGAACGGCCTGAAGGAACATGAGCAAACAGGGTTCAGGAGCATCTCAGAATGCACACATGTCTGGGTACAACCGTTACTGTACATTAGTGGATATTAGGACAGTCGATCAATGACGACAGGATCGGTGAGGATTGCATTATTGTTGTGTAATATAAACATATGCTTTCAACAGCAGTGTCTCTGTGTGTGTGTGTGTGTGGGGGGGGGGGGGGCGGTTTATTGTTCTGAAGCATATAGTGCTACATCTTAGACAGTACTTGTGAAATACCAGACTGAGTTCATTTGATCCTGTCGGTATCAATATTAATTGTAAAGGTCAGAGAGGGGAAAGTATTCATGAGTAAACTAAATTATTGAATTTTGATGGACATGTTCTTTTCTCGCACACACACACACACACACAGTACTTCCTCTGTTTGGGGTCCAGTGAATCACTGCGATACTCCCCAGCTCGCACTCACACACACACACACACCTCCTCTGTTTGGGGTTCAGTAAATCCGTGCAATACTCCGCAGCTCGCACTCTCTCTCTCTCTCTCTCTCTCACACACACACACACACACACACACACTGTAAAAAAAAATTGTTGGTTTAACTTAAAATTTTAAGGCAACCCATGTTACTTACCTTTTTAAGTTGATTGAACTGGAAAAAGTGAGTTAATACAATGAAGTACACAGAATATAGAAGAGAAACTCAAAATTATATGTTATCTGAAAATGTTGTGATTACTACAATGTAAAACAATATTGTTGGTTTAAAAAAGTAAGTAACCTGGGTTGCCTTAAAATTTTTAAGTTGATTGAACTGGAAAAAGTGAGTTAATACAATGAAGTACACACAATGTAGGTGATTTTCAGGTTTACTATACTTGTGGGGACATTTTGTCCACACAATGGAATATAAACAGAAACACACACACACACACACTCAGTACCTCCTCTGTTTGGGGTCCAGTGAATCAGTGCAATAGTCCCCAGCTCGCACTGATCCCAGTAACGGTTTGCTGTCCTCATCCATGATGCTGCGCTTCGATTAAACCGTCATCAGCTGTACAGACGAGATCTGAGACGGGTCAGTGAGAAAGAGGATGTCCTCTAAAGCACCAGACTAACAGCCAAACATCAGAAGATTTTCCACAGGGAGGACCACACTTCAATGTCAATGTCCTGTGAAAAAGGCAGACATGACACTTCAAACTCTGCACATACACATGACTGAACAATAAGACACGATGAGACATGTCACACAAACACTCTAAAGCGTCACACAGATTCCTGTCCTGTGAGTAACGTGGACATCCGGCAGGACACCGGCACTCACAGCCCCTGACAACAACTTCTACAGTTACATTATCTTCACCTTTTATTCAAAATGTTTTCAAAATGTTTTAAGCATAATGCATAGTTGTTGGGTAACAGTTAATAGTTTTGTTTGTGATAACGCAACTTCCTTTTTGTCCATGCTGTCATACAAAGAAATTATGAACAAGAGAGAACCAATGAAATATTAAAGAGTGATTGTGGTGTTGTCAATGTATGTTTTTTCCTGTAAGGTTTAATTACCATAATTACCATAACCAAGTGTGTGTGTTTGTCTGTGTGTCATCCACATAATCAGCGCGCAGAAACTAATGTTTTTCAGACACAGCCAATCTAATAATCAGTAAATCCTATAACGCAATGTAAGTAGATTACGTTTCCTGTTGTTTGTGGTCTTGACAAACAAAACAAGTTCTGAAAAGAGCATTAATGCTCATAATTCTTTTACTTCTGCATATAAACGCCATTCACTGATTAACTGAATCTCATAATATCATCTCTCTGCTGTTTAAAGACACTCTGAAAGTCATATGAGATCATCAGCTGCTACGGGGAAAACACATTCATACCCAATGTCCAATAGTGAAATATATGTCTATACTAAGTTTAAGACACCTGCAGTTTCTCAACAATATGATAGGTAAATCATAGCACGAATGTGCATGTGTGAGTGCATCATGTTAAGCCCCGCCAAAACATGCGTTAGCCTAGAAACAGATTAGGTTAAGTTAACACATCATTCATGCGAGCATAAATTACCTCCATACACTAAAATACCTTTACATTGGCTCAAATCTGTCATAAACTTCACTTGTTTCCATATCCGTACGCTTCACATGAATATCGCGACGCTTGTTGCTTACTTTTTAAATACAAGCCCATCTATAGGAAATTGTAATAATAAACTTACCAAAACCAGACATAAACCGACAATCTGCTGAGACAAATGTTTTGAAAAGGAAACAGTCTTTAAACGGCACATGCCTATCAGATGACGCATGGGATTAGTAGTGCGGATTTCACGGATACACAAGGCATGTGGAACGTGAGAAAGCGTTCAAACAACTACATTACCCACAATTCCCTAACGGGCGGCGGCGCATACGCCATGGAAGCTGTTTTGAGAACGGATCCAAATGTGTCATTTTAATGCATTTTATATAGTTTTCTATTTATCTTCAAATTTAAAAAAATAGATTAAGCATTTAATCATTATTGAAATAGTTTTACTGTTGGTATTGGAAATTATTCAAGCTCTTACATTATTCTTGGAAATTATGAGTTCAAACGTCTATCAAGATGACTCAAAACCACTAAAAATACAGATATTTCTTATTTTAATTAACCCCATCGACGTCTTATAATTCCAGGGGCATGTTCAAATACATTTTTCTGGTTATGCCTTTATAGTTACAAATTTAATTTACATTTAAAATCTTTAATAAAGCTCAATCTGGAAAACCATGAGGCTGGGGCTCCTGAAGGGCCATGTAGTTTCTCTGACGGAGACCAGAACACAGTGTAGCTTTAACCAGTAGCCTCAAACTCAATGTATATTTAATAAGTTATGGATAGGTAGTTTTGTGCCAGTCTTTGAGACTTCAATTCCATGCACTGGAGAAAAATAGTGTAGATAAAAGAAAATATAATACATAGGGTTTCTAAAACCTTTGACCATTCATTACTGCAGCCTCCTCTTTCAGGACTCAACTCAGCCAATCACACCAGAGAAGCAGGACTGTTTATATACAGTCATCCTCCTTAAAAACGTTATGCTTACATAACGAAGTGAACCGATACAGGCAACTAATACCAGTTGCTAAGGTTAAGGGTTAAGGCCATTGCACACCGAGCACGAAATATTCGTATGCGTATTTTCGTGTTCGTCAGCTTAAAAATTCGTCACGCATAGAAACCTTGCACACCGAGTCCGTTGCGTATTTCTTAAACCTTTGCGGGAAAAAACGCAAAAATACCAAATGGATTCGTCAAGCAGTGAGGATGATTTTTGCCCTCTCTCTTATTGAAAAGGGAAGAAAGAGAAAATATTGCGTCCATCCAATCCTGAAATTGCGCCGAGAGGAAGGAGAGTTCCTTATCAAGGAGTTGCGAATTTATCCTGAGCGATTCAAAATTATTACCTCAGAATGTCAGTGGGACAGTTCGATGCTTTGCTAGCGATTCTGGAGCCACATATTAAATACAAGACCACCAATTTCCGTGAACCAATCGATTCTGAACGGAGACTGGCAGTGTGTCTGAAATGGACCAGGTATGGACACACACACGGACATACACACACCCGCGCGCGGCCCGGTGGAAGCGCTGGGCAGACATAGGCTGTTATTGTGTATATTGTGCCCAAATAATACATTAGTTATCGAATAGGCTGCTCAATCACACCTTATTCGATCCTAAATTTCAATCTGATTGAAAGGGGAGGTTTATTAATTTCATAATCCAATATAGAGAAGAGAACATAAACACTTGATCGAATTGAAAACCGAAACTGAAAGCACGGCGCATATGTGCAATGATTTGAGGACGAGCTCCCCCTGGCCCTGAATTGTCAAAAGACCTCTCAAAATGCTGGCTCTGGATGCGAAAAACGCAGAAAATCGAACCCGATCCGATTAATTTTATGACGGACGAAAGTTTCGGAGGCGGTGTGCAAGCGTGACTGACATAACGTGAGGTCGAATTTTTTTTTTAACGTGCGAAAATTTCGGATGCGAATTTCGGACTCGGTGTGCAATGGCCTTTACTGTGTAAGGGTTAAATTATGCGTTTATCATAACCTGATATCATAACCATAACCAACGATAGAATCCATTATTGTGGAAATCTTAGATTCTCACAGAAGTTTAACCTCACAGATATTCTCCTCTCCTTCAAACACAAATCAACTTTTGAACAAAAACTGGAGCAATATTTCTAAATGACCCTTGAGATTTCAGAAGACCTGCATTTTCTTTGGGGTTCAGTCTTTATGACCAATGAATTCAGTTTGAAGAAGTCTCAGTCATTGGTGATCAACAGATGAGATTTGATATACTCGTAGCAATTCCTATTAAAACATGAGCTTTACATTACAAGAAAAAAAAAAAAGGTTTAAAGAAATATCCAGGACAGAAATCAACACTTAAAACCAACTAAAATCTGAAATGATCTGTTTTTAGGGGGAAATGTTGAGATGCAGAGCTTCTTCATCTGATCACTGCAAACCCTGACTGAATTGAGGAATAAGATTTAGAAGCAAAGATGAGCGGTAAATCACTTTATTTACCTTTATCTGGCAAGGTACATTGGCAAAACAAGTTTCTTTACTTGTTATATACTTTGGCTTCAAGATGAAAACATCAAGAAAAACAATCTGCAAAATGTCACATTTAACAACAGAACTGATTGATAAGATACAACTGTAGGAATGAGCTTCAGGGAAAGACTTACAAAACTCAATACTCTCTTAGCAAAGTGTTAAAATGTGACAACTTAAAACAAATCCACTAATCAAGTCGTGCTCCAGTCAAAACAAGTGATACAAAAGAAAATCATCAATCCAAACAGCTAAAAGGCATCATGTCCTGATTAGTGCTCTGGCCTGGAGGGCAAACCTACAGCTTCAAGAATGTGACTCTTTAAATGCAACCGCTTTACTGTAATGCTACCTTAATCACTCAACTTATAACAAACATGTCGGAGAAATGAAACTCAAAAATAAAAGTTGATCTACATAATAGAACATGGTGTAGATGCAGTTATTCCCATTCCTCGTCGTCGGCCGCGGCGGCAGACGCTGAGTTTGATGCTGCCGGCGCCGGCTCCTCGGCCTTGAAGGATCCGCCCTACAAACCAGACAGACACACATCAGCAGAGGCTCAGGAACAACCTTGTTTCAACTATTTATTTTGTTCCTTATGTTATTGGTTCTGTTTCGTGAGTATATATACACAGGTTATAACCCATATATGTAATGCTTTGCTTTTTTAAAATCATTTAGTTGTATTTAGTTTACATTTTTGCTATGTACTCATATTTTTGATACCTTGGCATTAATAAAAGATCAGGATAGGGATGTGTGTGGCGTACCTTCCGCGAGTCTGTGGACGCAAACGTTCTTCCGCGTGGGTTGAAGCCGGTTGTCCCATGAGCACTGAACGCTATTTCCTCCAGCCATTTGGGAACAGTCTGTTGAGCCTGAAAGATGGAGGTTTATGGACATTACTCCGGTCTTCACATTTAATAATTCAGCAGACGCTGTCCAAAGGAACTTACAAATGAGGAGAACAGAAGCTAATCAAACCAACTGAAGGCAACTATTTGCAAATGATGTGACAAGACCCAGTTGCTCTAGCACAGTGCATGTGACAACCGTTTTTATAGAAAAAATACAATAGAATTTGTATTTGCTCTTAAAGTGACAGCAGCCTAATTTTCATCAATCATTAATGTAGATAAAACAAACAAGAAAAAGGAATCAGGATTAATAGTCTATGCATTTAATTTATACGGGACCAAATAACTAACCAGTGTTATTTTACATTTAGTGTCTGTAAGTATTTCTGAATACTAGTGTTAAACCTACCCAAAAAACTTCATTGTTCCATTTACTTTCAACTTCAAAGATTGAAATCAAGCTTCCATGTGGCGAGTAAACTCTTGAGCAACACATTTACCCCATTTTAAAAACACAAATACAATGAGTGAGCAAACATATAGGGGAGATAAGTGTAATAATTTTAGAAAATTATATATACACATCATTTGTTTATAAAAAAAACTATTAGATTTAATATTATAAGCAGGAATTAAGTACACATTTATGAACAGTCTACCCCAGATGCAAAAGCAAATGTTGCAAACTCATTTGTTCTTCGTCTTAGAAGTTGAAGTACATCAGAGCATCAGTTTACAGTTGCGCCACATCCAGTGTAGACAGCTGAATATAATGGGTTCTGTTTGCTTTGTCACATCACGCAGCAAGTTTTCATTTCAGCTTCACTGTAAAGAATGTGAAATTTTGTTTGTGCTGCAAAAATGCCTTAACTCCTTAACCCTAAACTTAACGTCCAAATCGTGTAACGTGACACATAAAATGCACTCTACTGCGGGATATGCTTAATTTAAATAGTTATTAAAAGCACATTAAACTGACAGAGTCTGGTTCGAGACGCAGAGAAACACAGACAGTTTAAAGGAGAACTCTGGCACAAAATGAACCTTTGGTCCAATTACACATTGGTACTTAGTCGACCGTTCTCTGAGATTTGTTTTCATGATAATCGAATGTAAAGAGTTTTATCTCTAAAAACGGTTTAGCGTATAATACTAGTATATGGGGGAATTTAATTAGTAAAAAGGCTCAAAATAGACCCACACTAACACAGTAACACAATGAGGGTCCCTAAATGCAAAACGAAGCATTGAGGACTTTGTAAGTGTACAGACCGTTTAATAAGATGATATTTTAGAAAGACGGTGCACTTCGTGTTCACAGGTGGCACCATCTTTGGAAAACAGTCTCGTCAAGTCAAACCACGAACGCCGTTCATACAGTTCAGCTCACTTGACAAGTCGTTCGTGGTTCAATTTGTCGAGACCGTATTCCAAAGATGGAAGCTGCCTGTATACACAAAGTGGACTGTCTTTATAAAATATCGTCTTATTAAACGGTCTGTACTCTTACAAAGTTCTCGATGCTTAGTTTTGCATGCAGCAAAACCTTGTTAGTGGTATAAACTAGCGATTTTTATTTTCTTTACTCTATGCCCTATATACTAGCATTATACACTAAACCGTTTGAGATAAAACTCTTTACATTAAATCATCATGAAAACAAATCTCAGAACGGTTGACTAGGTACCAATGTGTAATTAGACCAAAGGATCATTTTGCGCCGGAGTTCTCCTTTGACGCCATGCCCCTCCGACTGTGTGAAAGTGTCTTTGATGTAATGTGAGAAGTACAAACCCCTGAAAGGACTTTGACCAAAGAGCGAGCTACTGGAGTGTCTGAC